ACTGACGCTGGTTGTTAAGGTTCATTTTGGCGCGTATAAAATTTTCAATAATTTTGTGTCGCAATTAGCAGTGTGGTTTAACACTCGTGAATTCGTGACCGATTATCGTAATTGGTATTAAATATTTAAATCACGGTAAATACGTATAGCCTTTGGATGACGTCAAAAACATTTTTATACTTATTTCTATTACATTTAACTAAAAAACCCTAACTGCCAATTCTCAGAATAAATCCATTTCTAATATTTTTTCAGCATAAAAAAATTAACTAACTTATATAACAGCGAAACCTAAAATTAGTAACGTCTTCATTAAGAGGGGTCTACGAAGCTACGTGACTACGGAGCTACGGAGCTACGCTACAAGAAGTTGGCTACGAAACGCTACGAAGCGTAGCGGTGCCGCAAAAACTGTGCAAGTGGGACAAAACCCAGCGAACTGTTTAACAGATTTCGTCTTACGATCATTTGTGAACATATACCACGTTCTTATTTGAACCTAGAGACTTGAATAAAGAACTTATGTTCCACTGGGAATTTCAATTGAGTAAAATGCCCTTTTTTATTAACCTCTTATAAATTTTAAGGAATCCCTAAGTTAAAATAGGTGACACTTAACGACATTTTTACTTTCATTAATCAAAATCACTAAGATGGTTTAGAAGTCGTTGGTGTAAATTGTTGTTGGTGGCCATAGATCACTTATTATTGTTTATGCTGATTATAAACTAAATAAGATAGGTATTGTAACATTACTCCGACTGCGAGCTGGACATTCATCATCAACAGCCTATAAGTGGCCACTGCTAACCAAAGGCCTCTTCTCACACGGAGAAGGTTTGAGCATTAATCACCACGCTTGCTCATGTGGGTAGGCGATTTCAGACTTTTAATTAGAAATTATAAGCCCAGGTTTCCTCATGATGTTTTCCTTCGCCGTTTCTCAGTGGTGTCTAAATTATTTTAGAAAGTACATATAACTCGGAAAAGTCACATTGGTACTTGCCATGGATAGGTTTCGAACCCGTGCCCTCACGCATGAGAAGCATCTTAAACCTCCGGGCCAACACGAGTTACACGAGCTGGACATTACCCCACAAAAAATGACGCATTTCTTATGAAAAAATTAAATTCACTTAACTGCGAAGTATGTGGCCAGTTAGATGGTTTAACTCGTCGAGTACCGTCGTTATAGACACAATTATAGAACAATAGGTTGCGGTCACCGGTGACCGCTTGGTGTTTGACAGTTTAATTATAATTAAATGTTTGACTTAATTATTTTAATAATTGTTTACTGGATGCTACATGTGACATGATGATTTAAAATTGTTTTAATTTGTTTGAAAAATCGTTGACTTTATGCATCATCGACTTGACTTAATTTTATTTAATGTACCTTAGACCTATTTATTTTATTATTTATTGAAAATGTTAATATATGTTATTAATTGAATTTAATTTTGAAATTTCAACTTTGTATTTTACTGTGCCCGACAGGGTCCATAATTGTGTTCTAGTTTTAAGCCAATGTAACATGTTAAGAAACATTATGAAATGTAAATAAAGATATGAATATGATGGTGTTTATCATGTGCTGGTGAAGTGTATTAAATTTAAGATGGCAAGGAACTCAATGTTGCAACATTTTAATAAAAAAAAACCCTTTTCTAGTATTTTGTTAGAACCTTTAAGCAATGCAGCACGTTCTATTGTAATAATGTCGCAACAGTGATGGCCCATTGGTATCGTTGGTATTTGATATTTTTAATTATGTTTTAGTTAATTAAAAATGTTTTAGATTGATAAGTTTGGGTTTCGACGGGATGACGTAGCCTATTGGTTAGAAGCCCCTAAAATAAAAAAGATTAAAAACAAGTTATTGTTGTAATTATTTTGGAACCAGTGTCTGAAATAAATGTCTATTATTATTTATGTCTTTACCATTCACGGGACCTCAGATCATTTGGGAGGCAACCGAGGGCCCGAAGCCAACTGCGCAGAGGCCCTTTAGACAACTTTAATCTAAATGTAATGAACACACAAACCGGCGACTGTCTCTGTATGCACTATTATTATTGTAGTAAATGATAGTGTAAATGGAATAGGAGGCAAACGAACAGAAGGATCACCTGATGGTAAGCGATCAGTACCGCCCATGGATACCCGCAACACCAGAGGAGACACAGTTGCGTCGCCGGACTTTAAAAAGGATTATGCCCTTTTCTTGAAGGTTATAAGGACGTATCGTAATTGCTGTACGGGGCAGAAAACTATGAGAGAAGCGCACAGATGCAAAAAGATGAAAAAAAGCAAAATAAAAGAAACAGGATGGCAGCATGTCCACGACGAAAGGGCTCGCCAACTCAGTCTAAGCTGGGCACAGTAAGTACCCAACACTGGTTTTCAGTTGGCACCCCTGCATTGACGCACGGACGGAAGCAACGAAAAATTATTTAAAGGAAAATAATAGGAATACAAAAGACACATGTTAAAACAATAAAAGAAACGGAAGAAATTTAAACACAGACCTCTATGTGTGCACATTGTGCGATAAATAAATAAAAAATAAGTATACATACATTAACAAGTGCTACGTGTACCGTCACCGTAGAAAAAAAAAATAAAAAAAATTATAAACCCCATATATATTACGACAATTAAAATAGTGTGGGTAGGTTGTGGTCGTGAAGCTATCGCGTAGCCCGACACTTACTCTCACTAACACTAGGATTTTCTCCTGTGTCATGGGTTACAAACATACAAGTTCATATTCACATGAACACCTGGGTGTCATGCGACCTTGTGTCACACACAGGTCTGGACCCGGAACAACAATCTGTAGAACACACAAAGAGTTGCTCTGTGCGGAAATCGAACCCACAACACGTTGCCCGGCAGCCAGTTGGCCAGGCACCTCACCAACCGTGCAGTCAATTGGAAAGAAAAGAAAGCTTTTGACATGACAATTCTTAACGTACCTATATCTCTTCTTTTCAATAAATTTACAAAGATAACTCTATTTTGGTATTGCAAAAAGAGAAAATACTCCTAATTAAAGTACGGTTAACCTTTACTTATATCCTAGAGCTTTTTTTTTATTCACTCTAGACAACTGCACACTTTTGTTCATCCACTGAAACACGAAACTTGCACGTAACTGAGGAAATTTTGTTTAATACAAATCTTTTTCACATCTTCGCGAACAAAGGTGGAAGTAGGTATGGGCAGCAGTGTGGATATGAACGATCCATCCACCGTCTCGCATACCTGAGGACCTCGTGGGCTAACCGCATTATCCCAGACTTGTAAATGCACAAACACAATTTTCACATTAAGGATAATAGGCTAAATTAATTATAATTAATGAAGTAAGTAGTACATTTTCCCGAGACAAAAAAGTATTTTGTAAACGACACTCGTCACCTTATCAACCTTTTGTAGATAAAATAATAAAATAATATTCAATATTTCAATTACTTAGGCTTCGTTTTGTGGTACGTTACTGGAAGTGATGTCTATTAAAATGGCTGATGTAATGTTCCGTGATTTCTTTTTTTAAATGATTTTCATTTTGTGTTATGCACATTTTAATTTAATAGTTACGTATAATATTTAATGTCGGGTTTTAGCTTCAAATAATTACAAACGATAAAGTTATAAAGTTTATTGAAATGTAAGAATGTCTTTTATTGAATTGAAATCTATTACACATATATTGAATACGAAGATAAACATTTGGTACACACATCTAAAACATTTAATTGAATCCATTATGTTGGCAATTGAGAATTTTTATACCATCTTATTTTATAAGCTGCCTACTCTTGATTCCTCGTCCTTTCCACATGAAAATGGCATACAAATATATTTGTTCCATATTATTCTTTATTTCAAAGTCATAAGGTTTACATTGCAATAAATAACGCATATTTTTGCAGGGCATTCATAAAATAAAGTGCAACTGATATGCTTTTGAAAATAGCAACACTGAAACAAAATGCGCGCGAAAAATAGACGTTCTCTTTTTGACGTTTGACATTCACACATTTGCCAACTGTCAGGCGCTTGACCAATCAGAAACTGGTAGGTATTCTGTCCGCCATGATGATGATATTAAATTTAAAGTTAGCTATATTTATATTATTCTAGTTATTCATAAAATTCAACCTAAAATCACAGTATAATTGGGTGTAGCTAAAATTAGGCATAAATTGGTGCCATCCACCACTCAAAGCTCTTCGCCAAACCCTAGATATTTCCTTCCTCACATATTGCACAGAGGAACATGGACAGTCACTACTTATTGGGTATAAGTACACCTACTGACATTAAATATAATATTTTTAATGCTATATTAAGAATACGTTTCAATGAATTTCTATATATTAATCGTATTGTTTGTAAAAATCAGAAAACCTTTTCAAACTGTCTAAAATAATGGGTATACAGTGACCTACCTAGTTGCAATACGACCCGTGTCTACCCCAAAGGTCTACCCCTTCAAAGAATAAATATGCAGGATATTATCATTATCAATAAACACATAACAATATTAATAAATTTTTATGATTACCTTTCTTTACGTAAATACAGACTGATGTCATAACAACGTCAATAGTGAACAAAATAAATAAATAAATAACGCATTTTACTCTTTTTCTTCGTTTTATAAATATACACAAACTCGCAAGAAAACTACTAACAACCATGGAATACTCATGAATTTTCTAAAAGTCATTGTATTTGTGAACAAACCGGAATTAGGTTATTGTTTAAACAACGTTTGATTTAACTCGTCGAGTACCGGTTTTGTAGACACAATTATAGAACAATAGGTTGCGGTCACCGGTGACCGCTTGGTGTTTGACAGTTTAAATCAAAAGTTGCCCCACATTAGGATTTCCTCCTGTGTCGTGGGTGCATTTACAAACATACAAGTTCACATACACAATGACATCCAGACCCGAAACAACAATTTGTGGATCACACATAGTGTTGTTCCGTGCGGGAATCGAACCCGAGACACGTTGCATGGCAGCCGGTTGCCCAGCCCCCGCACCAACCGTGCGATCATAGGTAAAACCAAACTTATGTCAGAAGACTTAAAATGAAATATCAGTTTCACGGATGTAATATTTTGCATATCCCAGTCTGAATTTACATAATTACAATGAATATATTTTTGTGAATTTATTTTGATACAAAGATACATACATATTATATTAACTATGTCGAGAATACATCAAAGATAATACATCTAAGTATTATATTACTGATCATCAGTCAATGTTTCATAAAATATTACCCTTTATTTTGATTATTCATAGCTACTAACTATAATAGTATTAAGACTACAGTGATATACGAACATAATTTCTAAATATAAATACTTTTATGCACACTGCAAATAAAAAATATGCATCAATTCCACACCTCTCTACATGCCACGTCAAATCCGATATTTCCCATTTTTTTTTTATTTCCTATCTATATTACCTTTTACCTCTTCATAATCCATTATAATCGACTCAGCAGTTTATATATAGCGATAATACCAGACTTATTTCATCATACGATTTCCACCTAATTACTTTAGTTCACACACTCCATCAAAAAGCATAACTAATGTAGTCAAAATTAAAAATGTTTTAGATTTTGACTATAAACATAATGTGCAAAGCTCTAAAATTTTCAAAGATATTAATCAGTTAAACATTTATTGTATCAAAAATTTTATAAAACTACTATAACAATTTATTAGTACCTACAGCCTATATTTTTTAATTGCAGTGTCCACATGTCTGTCGGCTGTTCTAAACAGTATATTTTATATCTATTTGCTAAATAGAGATCTAAATATACTAACACAATATGTTATACTACTATTTCTATCCTCTACACAATAGCTACATTGATAAATATAATCAAATACATTTAAAACTTCCTACTTTTCGTCTACACTCACATTGAATAAATACCTGAAAAATGCAATAATTTCTAAACATAATTAATGATTTATTAATATTTGTGTCTATTTCTACTTGGGGAAAATACTAAAACATGAATTGTTATAAATGTATAGTATAATATAGAAAACTACTTAAAACTGAGGTGCAATAACAAAACAAAAATAACTATACTTACAAGTGTGATACCTGACTAGAATGTTTTATGGATAGTTATCACAATAAAGTATAAACCGCAAAATTATTTTTACCCTAAAAGTTCATACAGAGCTCGATGAAGTATGATTAATGTGTTGATTTTTATCTTATGGTCGCAATTACTTGATAACCAATAGCCCTTTTGACACCACAAACAGTATTCAAAGCTCCAGAGACCTATAGAATAAACTAATTGGCATCACACTCATCAGAATCAGTCGGAGCATACAATAATGATACCAATTTAATATTGTGCGGCTAGGCCATGTACACACTTGAGATAATTGTCGTGTCTGCCAGCATGCCTGTCCATATCCTTTCGCCTGTCAGCCACCACTGCCTTCTCATGCTGAATCAAAAATTTAAATAGGGGGCAGTGGTACACCCAGTCTAGTTCTTTGTTTGCAACATCGGAATATCTATTACCACATTTTTTGCAATTCTGCAATGCTTCCAGCTGTTCTGGTGCTAGTTTCTTTCTTGCCAGTTTTCCATTGACCCGCTCTATTTCAAAGAAGTCATACATGGTAGTCAAAATCTCGCTCACTACAAATCGTCGATGATACCAAAGAGCCTCATGATATTTGTAATACTTCAAAAAGTCAGTGTTTTGTGTCAGTTCATAAATGTAAATTTCTAATTTTCGACAAGTTTCATAGGATTTAGTGTAGCAACTGCACTCGTTGGGAGCATAGTCAAACAGATTAGCGATTATATCTTCGTCCTCAATAGTCTTCTTAAAACTTTTGCTAGTCTTCTGAGCTGGATCACTAGCTTCTATGAACTTCTGAACATTCTCACGTAAGTCTGCCTCAAGCATTTTCTCAAATACCGGCCATCTTTCATCTAATAGGTTAAGCTTTTTCAAACAATGTTGGCGGTAATGAAAGCAGCTGTAATCTGAAACGTGGCGGGCTGTCCAACCCACAATGAACTTGTATTCATTGTAGAAAATAAGAGTGCTGTCAACCTCAGCCCTGTACTTCCAGGCAAACTCCGATGTCCACCGACGATGATCCCAACTGTGGTAGTTATTTGCACACTTGTCTGCAGTCATGGTACAAACATCAAACTCATCTTCCAATATGGTAATCACAAAGTGAGGTGGGCGCTCAGGAGTCTCTGAAAGTAGTTATAATTTGTAATTAACTTTTATGTCAGCATCTGTATCTTCACATGGACTTCTAGTAATTAATTTTAGCTAACTTGAGTCAGTTACTTGAGGTAAGACAAGAGTTTTAGGTGCAAAAACATTTAAGGAATATAATTAGTTAGTCTTAAATGTTAGAATATTCTTAGTTTTTATTTTACTTTCCAATTATTTAAAATACTGATAAAAGTGTCATCGTTAGGCTACTGTGCATGTTGTGACACCTTAAAATGTTGTGCATTTAAAATTTATTACAATGTAAGTGCTTAGATATAAGACCTAATGTAGCAACTACTGGTTGTCCATATTATAAATAAATAAATAAATTAGACTAATATTTTAAAAAATTGGTACTATAAAACCAGGTTAATATTAAGATGGACATTAATTTCGTAATTATAAGTCATATATGATCAAATAAGCAGTATGATATTATTCTATTCAAAAACTTACCTCTCATCACATGCTCTATCACAAACCTCCTGTACGAGAAAGCATCATTACATTTGTGTTTCCGTGAAAGCACTAGTCTTGTAAACGTCATCTCCGCAACCCAGTCGAGGTACCTTTTAGACATCAACTCCCTTCTCTTATTCCACAATGTAGTAACATCAGGATTGATCAGAAGTGTAGGGTTTAAAAGTAGCATGATTCTCTTGTAGGTCAGGCCTGATACCCTACTGAGGCGCCGCTTTGGGTGCGTCAGGAAATCCTCAATTAGATCCCCGTAGCAGTAGTTGTACACATGCTTCACACACCATGATTCCAAAGCCACAGAGGAGTTCACATATAACACCGGAGTCTTGTTCTTTGTCGACTCCACGGGCACGATATCAAACTCGGTTCTGCAAAAACACAAAGGATTAACGCTACCGCATATTAGTAAATATATCTCATTGAAATTTTGCCAAATGAAAGTAAATATTTACAGCGGTGATTTAGCAAGAGCACTGTCTAGTTCTTTTATTATTTTCTCCACCAGCCCGTTGTGGAAGTCGTCCATTGTTGCAACTTTCGACTCTCACTTGAGTACCTAATTGTATTTGAAGGAATTAGTTTATTAATTTATTAGAAAGGAACAACTTCAATAAACCACGTACTCCCAATATTTTGAAATGTCAATAATGCTGAAATGTCATCTTGCTTTGCATTGATTAAAACCATCGACAATTTGCTTTTTAGGACGGTATTGATTTTTGTTGTACGGCACTATGGTATTTGAGTTCATCAGAGTTCACGTGAATTGTACCGAGGTAGCAGTGGTAGCGTTGGTCAGTAACATAAAATCTATAGCAAAATCAACCTAGTAATTACCATATACTTACCTTGTTAATTTTCTTTTATTTTTTAATAGGATGGCGTTTGGACACTATCTCGCCTAGCTGTAAAAAAGTATTTACGTTATATTATCATCGCTCTTATGTCTCACTGGGCTAGGCAAACTAAGTGACCTATTTTGCTTCATCGACATCCATCAGTATTTTTTTGCATGCTCGAGGAGCATCTGGGACTTATAATTTTATAGCTTAAAACAATTATTACGTATAATATCTATAACATTATCTTAATGCATTTATCTATAAAACTTATCGACGCAGTTTGTCAGTAAACTTAAATAATACTAGAATTGCAATAGCCTTTTAAACATACATACCTACATACCTACAGACCTATCACACTCAGACCGAGTCGAGTTGAAGTCGAACCCGTGCGCATATTGCACAGCACTTTACAGGAGTCGGTTACCGGTTGAGAACTGAGCAATTAAGTACCTACATTCATTTAGGATTATTGTTGGGTTGGAAAATAGTTAAAGCGCTAAGAATACTCTGATGAGAAACATGCTTCCCTTGATCTTGCCATTAGGATTTGTTATAATTAGGGCCTTTCAGTACCTAGTGAGTTAGTAATTGTAAGGGTAAAACTTTTCATTTATTCTACTATATCGTGTGTGCTAGTCATAGTCGTTACTGGGGCAGGGACTCGAGTCCATATAATGAAACTACAGTCGTGGCTGACTTGTGACTCTGGGATAGCACCACGGCACGCCAAACTCTGTTTCTACCATGAAATTGAATACAGCGCCGATTCATGTAGTGATGATGTGCCTATACCTGTTCTACTGTCTCTGTCTACCCCATTGAGCGACAGGCGTGACGATAATTATGTGTGTATGAATATAAATATAAAACACTATATTATTTTGATTGGAATCCGCAACTGTCTCACTGAAATAGACAATGAAGTAACCAAAAATTGAACAAAAGAAAATTATTTTATTAAACATTACAGACCAAAATATCTTCATAATATTACGACGTTGCAAATCCAACTACTTATAACTACAGACGTACAAAGGGACATTATTACTATGTCACAAAATAACCTAACAATGACCAATTTAAGTTGACCAACCTTGGCACCAATTCCCTCTAAATACTAACACTAAGTTAAAACCGAGAGAGGGGTAGAAGGTCATGTTGGTTGGTTATTTCAGAATTAAAGTGACGTGGGTCGCTCATTTTGTTAGGGGCCAGATATACGCGTTTCCTAAGCGAAAGTGTGCACGCATGTAGAATTTTTAATGTTAAATATTGTGTTTATGCGAAAAATTTAGATATTACATATAATTTTGGTCGTGTCGTGGTGGCTCGGAGGTTTAAGACGCCCGCTTCTCATGCATGAGGGTGCGGTTTCGAAACCTACCAACGGCAAGTACCAATGTGACTTTTTCCGAGTTATATGTACTTTCTAAGATTATTCAGACACCAATGTCAAACAGTGAAGGAAAAACATCGTAAGGAAACCTGGACTTATAATTTCTAATTATAAGTTTGAAATCGCCAACCCGCATTGAGCAAGCGTGGTGATTAATGCTTAAGCCTTCTCCGTGTGAGAAGAGGCTTTGCTCAGCAGTGGGCATTTATAGGCTGTTGATGTATATAATTTTGGAAGTACACTGGCTTATGAAGCTGGTAGAGGTCGCCTCTGAAACATTTATGTTGACCTCCTTGGATGGCTCTGTGTGTCATAGTAGTATGAAAAGAAGGATGCACAATTTCTAGAGTTTTTGTAGCCCTTGGGCAAACAATATTCGGAACCATTTTGGAATGTTTCTTTGTTTAACGTTGCTCAACTCTAGGATTTTATCCTGTATCAAACATAAAAGTTCACATACACATGACACTCAGACCCGAAACAACAATTTGTGGATCACACAAAGATTTGCTCCGTGCCGGAATCGGTGCTTGACCGATTTAAATGAATTTTTCTGTACGCGTTTGAGTGGCGCCCTGGATGGCTTAGATTAACAAATCAGACCTAGCATCAGTGTCTAGGTTAGTTATCCTAAACGGCTGAACTAATTTGAATGAATTTTTGTTTATACATTCAAGAGGATATGCAGGACAACGTCTGTCGGGTCCGCTAGTTATATATGTATATAACATTTGCGTATAATGTAGTAAGTTTGTAATACTCGCTTCTTACAATTGAGGTATATTTTGCCACACAACAATTAAATAAAAATAAGGCCCCTATTCAAATACATAGCACTCAAAAAACCAAAAATAACCAATGCAACTACACAAGAAATGAACAGAAACTCGAAAGGATCAAAAGTTCGATCTCCGAGCATTTTTAATATTGATGTATAGGGAATAAAACTCTTAAAGAAAACCAATACAAAGTTCCCTGCTACAAAGCTGTCTTTCATAAAAGATTAGCTGACAAAAGAATTACGTATCGCCGCCTTCGTGACTTGAAGATTGAAGATATATTCTGTACCAGTGCCTTATATTGTGATCTTTGAGTGTTAAACTGGTAAAGGGGGAAAAGGTATGGGGTGGGGTTTTTTTTTTAAGGGTGGAAAATCATCAAATGACTGCTCCCGCCTGGGTGTCAGACTCTTACTGACTAAAAACCACCCCGTTCCTTCTCCTGCACGTCGAGTCGGAGCCCCGGTTACCCGGGTAAATAGAAACTTTTGAAATGGATATAATTGATATATAACATCACACCTTTTATCCCCGAAAGGGTAAGTGCAGTGATATGCATATTTAAATGTTATAGTTAAGAATTAACTGATGATTGAAAAATCGGCCCTAAATATTATAAAAACTATTATAAAATTGTCAATTAAGTTGACTGCTTCGTTGACCGAGTGGTCGCAAGTGTGACTAACGGGCAAGGGGTCTCGGGTTTGATTCCCGGGTCGGGCAAATTACTATTGGGTTTTTTAAGAATTTCACAGTAGCAACACGGAGTCTGGAAATGTGCCCGGTATATGGCAATAGGCTCACTCCCTATTACATGGGACTCATAAGTAGTGAAAAGTGGGTATTACATTGCACAGTGGTGTATTGAGGTTGGTATTATTAGAAAACTTTATCTTGCAATGAGACAACTCTTTGTCGAAATCTGTTAGTTAGAAATTTAGTCGCATTTGCGACCACTAGGCCAACGAGGAAGTCGTGAAGAAACCTGGACGATTAATGCTCAAACCTTCTCCGTGCGAAAAGAAGCCTTTGGTCAGCAGTTGCTACTTATAGGCAGTTCATGTTGATGATATTGTTGTTATGAAAAACCCACCCATCACTTACTATGTTAAGCGAAAAGCAATGGCCCCAGCTGCTACTTTGCTACAACTTCCAATGTTGTCAAAAGCATAATAATTAAAACGTCGTTTACAGTTTAACAAGAATTAACAGAGACTGCTTCCGGACATCGATTTATTAACTTGAACTTATAATTTGACCTGTCCGGACCATATTTATGAGAACATTTATCAGAACTGCCTCGCTAGTCCAGTGGTGGGAAGGTTGAGTAGAGCAATGCAATATTTGGTTGGTTGTCCTTTCTGCTCTGCTATTTTATATGTGCATATTTCTTTTTTCTTTAAAAAACGTTGCCCCACACTAGGATTTTCTCCTGTGTCGTGGGTGCGTTTACAAACATACAAGTCCACATACACAATGACACCCAGACCCGAAACAACAATTTGTGGATCACACAAAGTGTTGTCCCGTGCGGGAATCGAACCCGCGACACGTTGCACGGCAGCCGGTTGCCCAGCCACCGCACCAACCGTGCAGTCAAAGTTCATTTAATCGAAATAAACTAAGTGATTGTGTGAAGCCCCTTTGTTTTATTTTCAAATAATGTCGGACCCTGAGCCTACATACTTATTATTTAACTACAATCGACGACCCACAACAACTGAAATTTCAGAAATTTTAAGTCAGTAAATTAAGTAACGATTAGTTGGTACTTAGGTATGAAGAATTAATATAGTAGTCCCTTATACTAAGTTTTGTCTTGTTTGCATGTGGTTAGATCAAAGAATAGCGTAATCTAATGTCCCTGCCTTATTCTTTAACTAAATACGAATATGAAACTCAGCATGATTAAGCAATATTTTTTTCGATATTTTCATACTTTTACTTAATATCGAAGTATACATAAGTACCTGGGCATCGGGCTAGACCTATCGCATCGGGCATTAACCCTTAGTAGAGCTGATACCCGATGCGGAGCCGCGGGGGACTGAACGGTTGCCCAATGCTGGAGCTCCACCTCGAGAAACAGGAGTAGGAACGGGGTGGTTTTTAGTCAATAAGAATCTTTCTTCTCGCCTTACCCAAGGGGGAGAAGTTATTGAATGATTTTCCCCCTTCAAAAAAAGTACACATAGGTACATACATACCTACCCAATATGATAAAGGTACTGGCATGGTACTGGTTGCACATGCTCTATAATAGCATAATAATAGCATGCTAAAAGTCGTTCTATTGAGCATATTCAAAACGCATATTGTCGATCCGCAAATACCTACATCCAAAATGAGCATGCAAACTTTGAGCAACATTCGAACGCATGTTACTAAGTGACAAGTGATCAATTGAAGCATGCATTCGTGCTTAAAATTAGCATGTGTAACAGTACCTTTATAGATGCACTTAAATTGATACTATAATTATCTAGGTACATTTATAAATTCATCCATCTAAATTATCTTAGTAATCGACAAGTATACTCAGCATGACAATACAGATTATATAAAAATATTGAATCGTGACGGTTACACCTACGTTATTACGTAAACGTGTGATAATCACACTGCATGCACTTTTTATAGCATGACATTAATAGTAGTAAAAATTGTTATTGTAATGTAATTATCTCACTTTAGTACTTAGTAGATTATAATAATGGTCTTTTGGTAAGCCTACCAAGACTTATCTCTCCGATAACTCTAGCCCCAGCTATTGCTGCTTTTACCGACCAGGGTGCTTACTCTTGACACCAATCTCAATGTCAATACAATTTCAATCCAATAAAAACTCAATAATGATTCTATGTCAAAACTATACAAGCCCTAACGTAGCCGTTAAAATAGCATTCAGAGTACGGAATATAAAGCTATACTCAATACCATTTAGTTCATTCAATATCCACGCAATACGGTCTACGGATGGAATGGGCGCTAGTGTTGTCGGACTTGGTGACAGGAATAAGCCCCCAAGGCAGGACCTTATAACTAAACTTAATTTTAATCAGCTTAGGAGTCTTTGCATGTCGTACATGAATCTATGAGACAAGCCACGTCGGAGGAACATCTCGACACAGCAGTCTGGTGGAGTTGTGAGTCTGGTAGTACTGACACCTCCCTATTCGTGGGTAGGTGTGAGGCTCCATGAGAATTTCCGCTCCTGCTGTACTAAAATGGAGGTGTGGCCAGGATCGAAAAATTTTAACCACTAAATTATAATGAATATATTATCACTATTTATTTTGCACTTAGAAATTAGACTTAACAATCATTATAATTTTACATCTATTGGTTTACTTAATTAATTAGGTAGGTAAAACATTAATTTGAAATTTCTATTCCATCATAACTTTTTCGAAAGCCGCATAGGCGCTGTCAATGACTGGGGTTATGTCCTTAGCCGGGTTGTTGTTGTTAACCAACCAGACGGAACCCGGAGCTCCATTTTGGAACATGTAAAGTGAAGCTGCAGCTGCTGACTCAGGTCTGAAATTACATGAAGAAAGTTAGGTACCCTCTTACCCTCTCCGTAAATAAAGGTGATTACCAAAAAAGTTTACGAAACACTTAGATGTCACAACATCTGCTTAAGAACTTGTGTTTTGTGATATAGCTTTGCCTTCTATTTGAGGGGGGAAAATCATCCAATGACTTCTCCCGCCTTGATTAAGGCGAGAGAGTCAGACTCTTATTGCTTACTAAAAACTACCCTATGACTTCACCACTCGTCCTGCTTTAAGTTGCCCCACTAACCCATTAGGTTGTCCTTAGCTTAGCTGCCTAAGCTCCCTACTTAACATGCCACCAGAAATCTACGTTAGTTGTACAAATCAATTAATCTGGAAGTATTTTTTTTTTGAGGTGTGAGAATCGCTCATCACAAAAAACCCGCGGAACTAAGACCTCCCCATATTAGTATCTGGAACTAATATGGGGAGGTCTTCCTCTGTCAATACGGTTTTAGTGGCTGAGATAGGGACCTATGATGTGATGATAAAAAACTACTACGTACTCCGAAAATAGAAATCTTACTTCTGGAAAATGACTCCGTCAGTTTTTACAGTTTCAACCAAAGCCTTTCCAGCTTTTGGGTCGTATGCTCTTGCGTCCAGGTTGTGGAGCAAAGGTGTATCGGTAGCTCCAAGACATTTGGTCAGAATTCTAATGCCTGTGAGGTCGTAGAAGGGTTCCATCTGAAAATGTTTAATATAACGTAAGATTCAACAAATGAGCTTAACAAACAACGAGATATTTTTTAATACACATAACAATGAAAATGAGAATCTTAAACATGTGCCTTCAATTCGATTGCTTTAACAGACATTTGGAAACCAGTCTTCTTATTGTCATTTAATTTCCACAATGAAGTTTCCATTGTTAGCCTACTTATTTTTCAGACTCACTGTTAAACATTGACCGAAGTGTAGAACAGCCATTTTGCTGCCACTATAGACAGGCAATGCACCAGGTTTTCCTAGAGCAGCTGTTGATGATATGTTGATAATGGTTCCACCGGCTCCACCTTCATCCTTCCTCATGTGACTGATGCCTTTTAAGGAGAAGGAGACCAATCCTTGCTGAAAAGTAAAACAATTAATATAATGAATGAAATTTTAGAAAAAAAATAATCTCAAAGAAATAATTACAAAGTCTAATATTGAAGAACAATAGGATTAAGATACTTGAATTTAAAATAACTCATAATCCTTCGATCCTTTAGTTAAGATCCGAATGATGGAACCAATGCCACTCGTTTAACGTGTGTAGCTAGAAAACGGATACCCCCAACATTGGGGCCAATACTACCTATTCGTATTTATGGTGATGTTGGCGTCACTGTTCTGTTCAGGCCAACGTAAGGAGGCGGTGTAGGTAAATCTTAATATTGCAAGTGAGGTACATTACCCAATTAACGTCGGATGCAGTTCTCCACATGTTAGGAGTGTCAACCATGATGCCAGCGTTGTTGATGATGACGTCAATCTGCTTGAACTGAGCGAGCACGGCGTCCCACGCGCTCACGATGTCTTCCTCCTTGCTCACGTCACATTTCAAGAATATCACCTTGTTGCCAAAAGTATTATTTAAACGTTCGGTTGTTGCTTTGCCAGTTTCCACAGCTATATCCAAAAGTGCAACACTCTGAAAATTATAAAAAATATAAAGTACCTACCTATTATAAAGTACCCATCTCGAGTGGTTTCGCGCTACAACGCGCTTTAAGAAAAGATCGCCACCAACAACCATAAGCAAAAACCACAAGGAGACTATCGATCAACGAGGAACCAAGAGACTATTTGATTTTGTTTGATGAATATTATTTAAGAGACGGTATCAAAGTTGTCTATCAACTGTTTATTGGATAACTACATGAAGAAATATGTACCTATGTATTTAAAACGGAAAACGTATAATTTACCTTTGCCCCATTCTTTAGAAAGGTCTCAGCGTACAGAGCTCCCAAGCCAGAAGCTCCTCCGGTTATCAAAAATGTCTTTCCCTGGACCTCCCACTTTGCCATTTTAAGAAAGTATGTGCAATCACCTTCTGATGTTTCTAACTTCAGTTTTTACTTATATACGTACCCGTTATCATCGCAAATAAAAAATAAATATCAGGTGTTTATATCAACATTCTTTATCTGTTTGTTTGTACTAGATTATGTCATATCACATACGATTGCTTATCTCTGAGAAATTACATTCAGGTATTGGGTGTCGTACCACACCTTCGAGTTATTAGATTGGGCTCTTTGAGGTATTCAATTCAATAGAATTTAATATATCTTGTCAGATTTGGTTGAGAAATCCTTTTTCTCCTTCCTGGCTACATTCCAACCATCTACTATCTATCAACCATCTAATATCTCTACTATGTCGTTTCCTTTCTCATGTATCGGATGCCATCACATCAGGAACTTCTTTTTTTTTTAAATCACCATCACTCATTCTCTTTCTTTCCAATCCTCAAGAAGTCCACTGCTAATTATAGGCCACCAATGACTTCCAGATCACTCATATATCATTCCTTATATTCTATCCATCTTTTCTTTACTAAACATTTTGTACTCCATCTTCGGCCATAGCATCGCTTACCACCAGGCGAGATGGTGGCTGTACGCCAACCTATCAAGTACATATAAAAAAAAGAAAAATTATTTTTCGCCTCCTCTTTATTTACGAATATCTCCTCCTCTTTAATACTGACTTATTGATTATTGACTATCAGGTCATGATTTTCATCCGGTATACCTACACGTGTATCTATCTATCTAAAGAGAAACCCATCGTGGCCATCATCATGTTCAGGGAAAGCAACAGCGGCCCCTACAACCGTAATAAATATTTATGACAGTCATTATGACTTATCAATCTGATAAATATCACAAGACTAAGTCTACAAATTTTAACCGACTTCAAAAAATGTGTTCTCAGTTTGACCTGTATGTATGTCTGTGCGCGATTATCTCGTGATTGGCTGAACTGATTCTGATGCGTTTTTCAGAAAAGTGTTTGGTATACTTAGGAGGAGGTTTTAGCATATTATTTAACAGACTTAAGAAGAGGGGCTTGTAGTCGATTGTTTTAAACGTATTTTATGACAGAATTCTTGTTTGGATATTTTTACTCGAAAAAAACTCAAACTAAACTTAGTACATGGTGCTAAAGGTCAGTGAACTCAACTGACACAAATTTCATCATCATCAATAGCTGCAAGACGTCCACTGCTGGCCAAAGGCCTCCCCATTAGTCATCCACGTCTCAACCATTTACCTACTTGTTCATGCACACTAGAACAAGGACAGGGCCAGGCTACAAGCTGGGCGGGGGAGGCGCGGGGCGACTGAGGAAGCCGAGCGACCGCGCCCAACACAGCACTTCACCAAGGGACGACGAGCGAAACAGCTGTACCGAGTTTACTATAACCACGTCTATAATATATTTCTTATACAGTCCGGTCGGTTTTTAATTTAATTTAATAAATTACCTGGCCTAAACACTACCTAATATTGATTGGGCGTCCGAAGTTCGAAGTGCAACTGTCAACCTCTACTGCTGTCAAGTCTAGAGTCCATACCCCAACGGCGTAAATACCAACTTTTTCTCGGATCTTACCGAAATTTTTCGGAGCGTTACGGGCCTTTGGCTTTGGATTCCAAACTATTTAGGAATAAGAGTCAGAAATAATGAAAAGACATGATATGATGATAAATATTTATTTTTATTTAAATGAATAATTTAATTTAATCATAGTTAGATACAGATGTTACGACGGCATAAGAAGATTCTCAAAATCTTTGAAGGCACGATCAATGGTTGGAGTAATATTTTGGCCAGGTTTGTTATCCAAGGACAACCAAAAAGACGCTGGAGGGCCAGTTTTGTACATGTCCACTAAGACTTTAACTGCTGATTCTGGTCTGCAAATAATATGAAACCATAGTTATACAGTGCCTCATTAGTTGAATTCGATTGGTAGTCGAACAAAGTGGATGAATAACTCAGAGCAGTCAGATCCTGAAATTATGTCTGACATAAATATTATGTAATAACCATAAGATTATTATCCTATATTACACCCAAAATTGTAACTGATATAGTAGTTTAGACACAACAAACAATCTAATTTATACATAATATACACATGCATATACCTCACATGTGCACCTCAGCTAGATATACAAGGTGTAGTTTTGAAACCGTGTCATTTCTCGGGGGTATGTCACAGAAGTCATAAAGGTTCAATGTAAGAGAAAATTTCGGGCCAATAGTTAAAAATACGGCCATAATAAATCGTTTAAGTTCGACTGTATTTCAGAATAAGCGATAGCAATGGTTCTTATTGGAGTTTTATGGAACTAGGAATAATATAAATTACGTGTTTGAGTTTGTGTGTTTTAAGCCGCGTTATAAAGCTAGTTACAAGACGGCGGCGTATAGATCACACTTACGGATTTCCGTAATATCAGAATATGAAAAATATTTACCTACAATTTTTTTTATTGATTCGGACTCAGAATCGATATCCGAGTTACCACCTAGAAAATGACGCAGCTTTAAAACAACACCTTGTAGATTAGTCGCAACTACTTGCAATCAATCTTATTGCTTTAATTCAATGAACAGGCGTCATTCAACTATTTACCTAGAAAATAATGGAAGTCCAAACGAAGAATTATATCCAAACCAAATAGGACACTAACCTAAGATAGAATAAGATGTATAATACTTACTTTTGATACACAACATTCTGACTCTCAACGAAAGCCATCATAAATTGCCCGACCTTAAGGTCATATGCCTTCGGTGCTAAGTTCTCCAATAATGCAGTGTCAGTAGGACCGAGACATAAGGCTAAGACTCTTACTCCAGTGTTCTCGAAGAATGGTGGCATCTGGAATGGAAATAAAATAATTTTGAAATAACCACGCTATTAAGAATAGGAGACCCGGTGTGACTTGAAACTTGTAATGATGGTCTAGGTACATTCATGTTTTGTTTGTGAGTGTGATGCGACATTCAGAACGTCAGATGTTTTGGTCTAGTCCGACTAGGCAACATCATTATTACTACATGCGTGAATTACATTTTTAAAATTGCAACACCCACTGATGATCAACAATAATAGCAGAGTTGATATTAACCTCAATGTCAAGAGATTTGTGAATAATAAGATTGACGAAAATAGTATCTGTAATATGGCTTTTAATAGTTTTTAACTGACCGCTATACATTGACTGAAATGCAGGACAGCCATTTTGGAGCCACTGTAGATGGGAAATGCTGCTTAGTTAGTATGACTCTGAAACTCTTTGCGGATTCACCACCCCCAGCAGGCCGGCAGGTCCCACCACGAACCAGCCTTTTTTAAGGGTGCAAAATTATCCAATGACTTCTCACGCTTTTTTTTCCATCAATCAAAACCATCCCGTTCTTACTCCTGCTCTTCAAGCCGGAGCCCCAGCAACCCGTTAGGCCTTCCGCGGCTACGTATCGGGCATCAGTCCTACTGGAGCCCCGTCTGTAGTGGTCTGATGGCTTTTTGAGGCGCGCGCGGAATGCGACGCGCCGTTCGCACGGGTCTTGTACGTGTCGGGTGGCCAGCCTCCTCTTTGGCTAGCATGACTGCTTCGCAGAAGAAGGAGACGGCATCCCAGTCCCCCTCGCTCCGCGCCATGGCCTGAACCAGAGCCGGACGCGAGTGGTCGCCGTCGCCGATCATATCCCTGAGGACACGGCGGTGCCCAACTCTGCCTCAGCAGTGTAGGGCACACTGCCACCGTATGCTCCACTGTGTCCTCCGGGTGGTCCTCACAGTGATGACACCCGGGCGTTTCCTCCCGCCCAATCCGAAACAGAAACCTACCGAAACTGCGAAACAGCCCTCAGCGGCTAATTTGCTTCTTCAAGCCGCGCGCGTGGAACACCTCGCTAATGCCTACTACTCCCGCCCATACAGCGGACGACTGACATGATAAATTATTTTTGTCACTTCTAATAGTAATTAATGAAGTTAATGTGAAATCATTTTCATTTAACTTAGGTAGTTATGCTATAAAGTTTATTTAAATATTTTACTTTACACCGAACGGCACCTCCGTACAGTACACATATTTTACATTATATTTTATTAGACAAAAATCGCGAAGGACCTAAACTTTACTATATTTTTATGACTACCTACATTTAAAACAAATGCTATCGTTAAAAAAACACTTTTTGTCATGCGTAAGTAATAAAAAATTAAAACTATAAAAATGAACAACACAATATAAATTATTCTATTTTCAAATAGATAGAGATGGCGGGAAATTAAAAAAAATATACATTTACCTTAGCGCCTTCCTTAAGGAATGCTTCAGCATACAACGCGCCCAAGCCCGAAGCTCCGCCAGTAATCAAAAAGGTTTTATTATTTGCGTCCCACTCCGCCATTATTATGAACGTTCACCAACACTGTCAATCAATAACTAACGCTGAAACTCCTCTCATTAGTTTTTATACCTACATAGGCATTTATAGCAACTGCTATATTTGTTAGGTACCTCTATTTAATAAGAATAAGGATGACGTTTATTTCTGAAAAATGATTACAATTTTTGTTGTGGCTTGGACCTAACACTAGAATTCCCTGTGTTATGAGGGCCAGGCCCAGGCTAAGGGATAAGCCGGTAAACGAGCAGACGGATCACCTGATAGTAAGCAATCGGCGTCGCTCATAGACATCTGAAACACCAGGGGCGTTACAAGTGCGTTACCGGCGTTTTGGGAATTGGAAATTTGAGGACTGGTGGGGATTCGGTGATTAGGGAGACTGGGGAGGGGGGGTATTTGGGCTTCCGGTAACCTCACTCACACGACGAAGTCGATTTTCTGTGGGGCCGTGGTATCACTCCGGTCGAGCCGATCCATTCGTGTCGAAGCATGGCTCTCCGACACTTACATATATGTACGTATACAAAATCAGATTTATTACACCTGTAATAAAACTAATAAGAATAATAAAAGAAACGAAAGAAAACGAGTAAAGGATGACCAAAATTAAAAAAAAACAGCACAAAAACTTAATACTACATTATAAATGTGTATTATGCGGGTGTGTATGAATATGTGTTTGTGCGTGTGTGTATGTATGTATCCTGTCTGAAAGCATAAAAATTACACGTTAATGAATATCAGTACATTTTCAGCAGTCGTTTCGTAAGTATGATTAGGTTTTTTTTTCTTTTTTTATGATTGTACTAACTTAAAAGATTTTCAATCACCTGATTGAACATCACGCATAACTTAATAATCCATAGTGAGAAGACGCTTTTTTTTACACGTAATTTGGTCGGCGCGGTAGCTGGGTAGCTAGCTACCGTTTTTTTTTTAAGGGGGAAAAACATCGATTGACTTTTCCTGCTTGGGAGAGGCGGGAGGGAGTATCAGACTCTTACTGACTAAAAACCACCCCGTGCCTTCTCACCTCACGTCGAGCCGGAGCTCCGGTAACCCGTTAGGTTCTCCGCGACTCCGAATCGGAATCAGACCTGTTGGGCCCCATCCGTAGTCTTCTTACGCCCCATTCAGGGCGGATGGAGTCATTTGTTGAATTTCCATACACACAGAAGAGGATAAATGAAAGCTTGGCTACCGTTTAACGTGTGATCCACAAATTGTTGTTTCTACTTGAATGTTTGTAAACGCACCCACGACAGAGGAGAAAAACCTAGTGTGAGGTAACGTAAAAAAAAGTATGGCCCCATATAGCCACACGAAATTCTCTCGATTTCTTTACAACAGCGCACCTTCTTTTCCCATATTCGACTAGACAGGATACAAATGCTAATAGCGTTATGGGAAATCTTAGAGTAACTGACAATATGTTCAGTGGTCTGACTAAGAAATTTGATTTCGGTGTAAAGTAAATTAGTGAGGTATCAGCCGATTCGGAAAAGCCTTCCATAAGCAACTTCGAGCAGGACCCGTTGAGCCGACTCGACGTTCGACTTTCAGCAACGAAGTTTTACCAACCGCAGTGCCGCACCTTCACACCGTTATACCTACAGGAGCTGAGGATGGATCAACAGAGTGTATAATAGATGATTTTCAGATAATAGATAGAAATGAGCAATCATGCTTACTCAATAAATTAAATCAAAGAATCATCTTTAATAAAATCATCAATATTGTATCATTGTTATGTTAATTTCTGAAGGCGTGTGGTGACGATGGGATGCATAGAGATTTTGTGTATAGATGGATTATACTTAATTAATTTCGGCTGTAAGATGCTATACATTAAACAGAGACCAATCAGTAACGCTCCTTGACAAACCCGTACTTTGAAACTGCAACCACAAACTCTTGGTACGTTGTTAGGTATACATTATCACAAACTCAGCATTAGTAATAGTCCAGGTAGTGCACTATCCCTGAGGACTGATTGTTCAGTTCATGAATCCAACGCCTTGACTAGAGCGACTGACGGACAATTCAATTTTGATGTTACAATGCCTAATTAAGAATTAATTGTATGAAATGGTTTGACTTCATTAGTTCTTGTTTTATTTAAGACTAGCTTCTACCCGCGACTTCGTACGCGCAATCCCGTTTTCTCCCGTTCCTGTAGGATTTTCAGGATTTCTTCTGTCTTAAGAACCTTCTCCTAACAATACAACAAAAAAATAATTAGTGAATTCTATCCAGCCATCCACGCGTGATGCCGTGACCAAGAGAAAAAGGGATTCATTTTTACATTGTTACCTAGACGGGCTACTTGGGACTGTGATGCCGTCTCCTCCTTTTGCGAAGCAGTTATAAATGCTAGCTAAGGAGGAGGCGGGACGCGTGAGGTACCGAAGCGCTGCCTCCTCGCAACCCAGCCATCGCGAAGGACACACCGGGCGTCGGGGATCGCGAGACGATCTCCGGCCATCGTAAGCGCGGGCCTGCGGACAGCGAGCATGGGTGGCTCCCCGTCCGACCAGAAACAGACACGAGCGTACGGCGCGTCGCGTTCCGCGCGCGCCTCAAAGAGCTATCACACCACCACAGATGGGGCCCAACACGGTTGATGCCGATTCGGAGTCGCGGAGAACCTAACGGCTAACCGGAGCTCCGGCTCGTCGTGCAGGAGGTTGTGCAGGAGTGGAGGAGGTTGTGCAGGAGAAGGAACGGGGTGGTTTTTAGTCAGTAAAAGTCTAACACTCCCTCCCGCCTCATCCAGAAGTGAACAGCCATTCGATGATTTTATTAAAAAAAAAAAGACGAGATACTTCCACGTAGTTGAACTCGCTCTGACCCAAGAGATATTATTATTTATTATCTGTATATATTTGCACAAGAGAGCCATAATATTATGAGATATTCGATTAACATCTGTTATTAAATTCAGTCGTAATGTGGCTTAGAGATAGCAACCCGTAATTGCTAACCGAAATGCGGCATTCTAACAGAAACCACATGGTTGCACGTGTTTATATGATATGATACCAAACTGATATTTTATCTAGATGATACGACCGGGTCATCAAAACAAAATAATTAAGGAACTGAATGAAGTACGTATCTACTGATAAAAACAGAAATGTTATTTATCAAAACAAAGAACAATGACAGGTCTATACTTGTTTCCAAAGATTCCGTCTGTGATATCTAGAATGTTTAGGCCGTCATTGATCTAAGTAACTCCATGAAAAAAATCCAAGGAGGCTCTCGAATGGAGGCTAAGTGCAGGCAGGTGCAGTACAAGACATCCGCAATTTAGACAGACGATCTGCTGGTTGCAGGTCGCTTACTCGGTTCCATCTGGCCAATCATAAGTCATTGGGGATGCCTATGTCCAGCAGTGGGCGGCTTTTTAATTTTTTTAAGGGGGGAAATCATTCAATTTCTTCTCCCGCCCGGGTAAGACCAGAGGGATTGTAGTCAGACTTGCTGAGTAATAACCACCCTGTGTCTCTACGAGCCGGAGCCCCGACAACCTGTTCAGTCCTCCGCGGTTCCGTATCGGCTCAGGCCTACTGGGTCCCATCTGTGGTGGCCTAGCTATAAATAGTTATAGCTCTTTGAGGCGAGCGCAGTACGTAATGCGCCGTACGCTCGGATCTGGTTACTAGAATGATGACGATGATGAATCAAGAATTGGGCTTTTTGGGCCTTGCCTGATGTTACAAAAACTTACATTTTGTCTTGAGCACATAGAAACGCATTTTCTGAATCAATCTTTTATTTTGCTTTACATGTAGAGACATAGAGATGCATTTAATAATACAAAAGTAATATTCAAGCTAAAATAAGTAACTAAATCAACTAAGTATAGGCAGGTACTACAACAGCTTTTATTCTGACATAACTCTCTCAAATTCTTCAAATGCTTTGTCAATTGCAGATGTAATGTCTCGAGCCGGTTTGTCGTCAATACTCAACCAAGTAGATCCTGGATTACCATCTGTTAACATTTTAATGAAGGCATTGACTGCTGATTCCCTTCTGTAATTAAATAAAACGAGTTACATTGAACAGCCTGTACTATATTGGGTCAATATTGGCAATATTGCATCATCGCCGCGATGATGCAGCCAACGATGGAGTACGCCTGCCCATAAGCAACCTATAGCAAAATTAAATATTAATTTGTTTGTAGAGGCCATTAAAGTGAGCACACACATGAGATGTCATATACTAGGTATGTATGTATGTACATACTATAAGTTGACAAGAAGGGGGTGTCCATGGGCGGCGCTGATCGCTTACCATTAGGTGATACCTTTGATCGTTTGCCTTCTATTCCATAAAATAAGAAGTTAGGTACAAAATAAAAATGAACCTACAGTATCGTCAAGTACCTATCCAAGATACACCAGGGAGTTTAAAATTAAAAATTAGTTTATACCTATACAAAAACTTACTTTTGACATATAAACTTATTTGTAATTGTGACAACCATCTCGTTTCCAAGTTTCGGGTCCCAAGACTTTGTTTCTAAATTATGCGCTAACGGTGTGTCAGTGGATCCCAAACACATTGTCAGCACTCTTATACCAGTGTTTTCATAGAATGGTTTCATCTGGAAATAAAAAACACATACCTATTAACTAAAAATCGTGGGTTACTCACGTGAGTATTACAGAGACCTTCTTCCTCATGAGCAGCGTGGGCGGTCGCGGCGAAGTCGCGAAGCAGTAGGCTGCTAATTTTAGTAGTTAATTTAGTATGTCTCACAATAGTTATTATAAATACAAAAACACATAATAGGTGTCTCTTTCAGCCAACGAGGACTTTCGCCCTTTTCATTTAGGAACTTACATTATTTGCCTATGCAAATACTCAGTAATTTCTTACTAAACTCAGTTGACGAGGAATGGTATTGCCGCACTATGATGATATAAGTCACTAAATTAAAACAATTCTGCGCAGTTTTAGACGTAAGACTAAAATGTTATGTTGGCAAAACATAGATACCTATTGCATATTTTGAAGAACTAAAATTCACTATAACTCACCGCTAAGCATTGACTGAAGTGCACAACAGCCATTTTAGCGCCACAATATATTGGTAAATAAGCCAATTTTGTTAAACCTAAAATCGAAGCGACGTTCAAAATAGTCCCACCGGCTCCACCCTCGTCCTTCCTCATGTGGCTGACGCCTTTTAAGGTAAAACAGACCAATCCTTGCTGGGAAAAGGAAATAAAAAAAATATTATGCAAATAACTCATCATCATCAATCATAAAAAAACGTAAGACGTCTGCTGCTGGACAAAGGCCTCCCCCTTAGTCGGCCACATCGAGCGACAATTCGCCACCTGCATCCACTAGATCCCCGCAACTCTGGCGATGCCATCGGTCCACCTAGCAGGAGGCCTGCCCACGCTTCGTCTTCCGGTCCAGGGTCTCCACTCAAGGACTTTCCTAGCCCATCTACCGTCAGTCGTCGAAACAAATATAACTCCCTCCTAATTACATTTTATGGTCAGGGTGCTTACTCTTGTAATCAATCTCAATGTCAATACAATTTCAATCCAATAAAATCTCAATAATTATTCAATGTCAAAACTATACAACCTTAATCGTAGGTCTGAATAGCATTCAGAGTACGAAATATGAAGCCAAACACAATACCATTTAGTTTATTAAATATCCACGCAATACGGATATAACGGGCGCTAGTGTTACAACTCAAGAGTACCAAAGTTCACAATACCAATGTCGATCGATCGGAATTGGATTCAAGAGTAAGCCCCCAGGAATCATCTGCAGTATGTGACATGCACTGCTAGACTATGTGCCTCCTCTACATTAGAGAGTTTTGTAATTGTAGAGGCTTGGTAGGTTGGAAATTGTAAATTAAAAGTTTCAGGTCTATCAGAGGACGTTACTACCAAGTCTATGTTAAAGGTGTGGTCTTCTAGCTCTTTCGACAACCGCGAGAAGAGTGTATAAATATATTATTTAAGCTTCTCATACCCAATTAACTGTGGTAGCAGTTCTCCACGTGTTAGGAGCGTCCACCATGATGCCAGCATTGTTGATGATGACGTCAATCTGCTTGAACTGAGCGAGCACGGCGTCCCACGCGCTCACGATATCCTCCTCCTTGCTCACGTCACATTTCACAAATATCACCTTATTTGTGCCATAATTCTCGTTCAGTTGTTCAGCTGTCGCGTTGCCTAAGTTTTCGGCTATATCTAGGATGGCTACATTCTATAATTAATAAGATAAAAATTATATTTAATGGAATTGTGTTGTGTGATCAAACAGTCCACAGATCTAATCGTCTTTACCTTCTTAGATAAATCAATATACGCTAATCAATCTTGAAAACTGATTTAATATTTTTAAACTGCACTTATTTATTATTTTATGAATGAAAAATTAAGGGCCTTTGCTCGAAACTATTTGCCCGAAGAATAAAATACCTTAGCTCCATGTCCCAAACAAGCCTTCGCATAGTCCGCTCCAAGTCCGGAAGCACCTCCCGTAATTACAAACGTTTTATCTTTAACGTCCCACATCGCAATGATACGTCCGTCCGCTAATCAATTACCATTGAAATTACTCTCGATAAACGTTAACAAAGTCTTATTTATATTGTATTTATGTGTACTTACTTTTATCTAAAAAACATCCTCGTAATTTCTAAGGTTTCGAGTTCATCAATGATTCTTTGATACACTACGTTTATTTATAAAATAAATAATTATTTTGAAGTTGGTTGAAAATCAAATCAATTCAGTATCAAAATCAGTTCAGCTAATCACGAGATAATCGCGCACAAACAATAACATTCAGATCAAACAACAGTAACAACAGTGTTACAACAGTAACATAACGATACATTCAGGTCAAACAACAGTAACAACAGTGTTACAACAGTAACATAACGATACATTCAGGTCAAACAACAGTAACAACAGTGTTACAACAGTAACATAACGATACATTCAGGTCAAACAACAGTAACAACAGTGTTACAACAGTAACATAACGATACATTCAGGTCAAACAACAGTAACAACAGTGTTACAACAGTAACATAACGATACATTCAGGTCAAACAACAGTAACAACAGTGTTACAACAGTAACATAACGATACATTCAGGTCAAACAACAGTAACAACAGTGTTACAACAGTAACATAACGATACATTCAGGTCAAACAACAGTAACAACAGTGTTACAACAGTAACATAACGATACATTCAGGTCAAACAACAGTAACAACAGTGTTACAACAGTAACATAACGATACATTCAGGTCAAACAACAGTAACAACAGTGTTACAACAGTAACATAACGATACATTCAGGTCAAACAACAGTAACAACAGTGTTACAACAGTAACATAACGATACATTCAGGTCAAACAACAGTAACAACAGTGTTACAACAGTAACATAACGATACATTCAGGTCAAACAACAGTAACAACAGTGTTACAACAGTAACATAACGATACATTCAGGTCAAACAACAGTAACAACAGTGTTACAACAGTAACATAACGATACATTCAGGTCAAACAACAGTAACAACAGTGTTACAACAGTAACATAACGATACATTCAGGTCAAACAACAGTAACAACAGTGTTACAACAGTAACATAACGATACATTCAGGTCAAACAACAGTAACAACAGTGTTACAACAGTAACATAACGATACATTCAGGTCAAACAACAGTAACAACAGTGTTACAACAGTAACATAACAATACATTCAGGTCAAACAACAGTAACAACAGTGTTACAGCAGTAACATAACGATACATTCAGGTCAAACAACAGTAACAACAGTGTTACAACAGTAACACTACAATACATTCAGGTCAAACTCAGAACCTTCTTTTTTAACTTCAATTAGTTTAATTCACGGCAACATCAACAACGGCTGGTATCGACAGTGTTCAAGGATGGCGCTGATCTGCTCGTTTGCCCCCTATTCCATAAAATTCCAAAGTGGATGTGCCGTAACCGACTTAAATAGCAGAGGTTCTGGGGCTAGACTATTTAGAGGACCCAATCTCCGATAATAAGTGCTGATGGTGACCGCTAGGGTGGTTAAAAATTCTACACATTTTTGGTCCCTAAATATCAAGGCGCCTTTAAAAAACTTTTTGCCGTTGGTTACATTTTGCCAAGTGACGAATTGTCGTTCAGCGACTAAACTGGGGTTGTCTTGAGGTTTTCTATTGATCAGGTTTTTGTCGCGAAAATCAAGCCGTCTGTCCTATCTTGGCCCGAAAAGTTCTATTGCTTCATCGTCGTATCAGGTTATTGCCATGCCTACTAAAAGGTGGGTAATCTATATCTATAAATAAAAATTAATTTCCCTTTGTAAGTCTCGCTAAAACTTGAGAACAGGTGAACCGATTTGGTTAATTTTGGCCTTGACATATTCGTGGAAGGTTTAAAATGTGAGAATTAAAATTTTAGGCGGTACAAAGTATGCTTAGTTCAGAAAGATTCTAATAAGTCTAACGTTTGGAATAGGTTCATAAATTAATGCTGGTTTATCATGATAGTATCTACCTGAAAGATAAAATCGTTATATCGAAGTTATTAACTGACTTATCAATTTGCAAACCGCTCTATGGGGCAGATCGCCAAATAAAAATATGTGTCGTCATATTTGTAGTGACGAGCGCACTATTACATATATTATGTATCAAAGTTAGTACAATGTCAAAAGAATATATCGTACGAAAATTTTGTAAACGTTGTTTCTAGGTAGGTGTTTTTCAGAAAAACTCAACTTTCATTTAACAAGATTGTCCTCCCGCGTTGTTAAGCATCGGGGTAACTTATTATCATCTGTATTTATATATACGATTGGTTGAGAACTGTGACATGGCTCAATTTCTTGAAACTTGAAATTTTGTGTTTTAATCATCAGAATTGGTAGTTTGGGTTTTGGGATAATGACTTCGTTTATGTTTTGACACCCAGATAATAATGCGTTCACTCATAGGTTTTGTAATCTTATAAATAGTTTTTGTTGGGTTTGTTATTGTTAACAAAAGGTTCGGTATGGAAGAAATAAAAACGCTTAGAAACCCTTAGCGAAGCATAGTTGACCGGGTCCGCTAGTTAAAAACAAAAGTAGTTTACTGAAAAAACAACAACAATAATCGGTGAATTAATTTTATTCTGCCATAACTTTCTCAAATTCTTTATAAGCGTTGTCAATGACTGATGTGATGTCCCGAGCCGGTTTGTCGTCAAGAGTCAGCCAGATAGAGCCAGGGTTACCAGTTGTCAACATCTTAATTAGGGCTGCGACGGCTGATTCCCTTCTGTAATCGAAAAAATAAAGAACTATTAGGGACTTGAACTGGTTACTAAAAAAACCTCATTCTGAAACGAATTCCTAGCGTTCATTAGTTCTCTATTAGTAGTAAATATATCTATAACAAGTAATTATAAATTTGCGGTGTAAAAGTATAATACTGCTGCTATAAGGGTTTAGGGATTCGTGTTTTGTGTAAAATCCCTAATTTGAGTTATGCCTCTTCTGGACTATGGTCTAAGTGAAACATGGTATTCGGATACCGGATACTTTTCGCATAAACCCCAAAGAGAATCGGTCGCTCGGACCAATGCGCAATAACTGTCTTGCATGCCTCACGCTCTTATAAATTTTTGCTTGCCTTGCACTCTGCCATACATACTTACAAGGGGGTCAAAATATCCAAATAAATTCATTAACATATCAGTTACTTTTTAAAATGATCCACTTACTTTTGCCGTATATAGTTGTTAGCTATGTTGGTGACGAAATCGTCTGCAAGTTTCGGATCCCAAGACCTAGTCTCTAAATTGTCTATTAACGGTGTGTCGGTACATCCTAAGCACATTGTCAGAACTCTAACACCGGTATTTTCATAGAACGGATCCATCTAGAAAATAAATAAAAATGTGTTACTGGAAAGAACCGCTGATAACAAGAAGAGTCTAATTGGAGTAAACATTGCAATTGCATTATTATTGCATTAACTCAATGGGGTCTTTCGATTTAAAAGCTTGTTGGTGTCAACCACTTATCTTCCTTATGGAGCTTATTTCACTATCACTGGTCAATCAAAGTATCTCTAAGTACTATCTAATAAATCTAATTGATGCAATTACTCATATAGTTAAGTACCAGTATAATGATATGCAGACTGACTCACCGCTAAACATTGACTGAAATGTAGAACAGCCATTTTGGAACCGCAGTAAATTGGCAAAAAGGGCATCTTTGTTATGCCCAAAGTCGAAGCGATGTTCAAAATAGTACCACCGGCTCCACCCTCGTCCTTCCTCATGTGGCTGACGCCTTTTAAGGTGAAGGAGACTAATCCTTGCTGGAAATAATATTAAAAGCATAATGCCCTTCCTTCTAAATATAATGACTATGAATTGAATGGTAGAATAACTAATTATAAATATCTTTTAGTACAAGGTAACTTGAAAGTCGTTCGTCATCGTTTAAAAATTCCACATACCCAATTAACATCAGAAGCAGTTCTCCAAATGTTAGGAGCATCCACCATGATGCCAGCATTGTTGATGATGATGTCAATCTGCTTGAACTGAGCGAGCACGGCGTCCCACGCGCTTACGATGTCCTCCTCCTTGCTGACGTCACATTTCACGAATATCACCTTATTAGTGCCATAAGTCTCGTTCAGTTGTTCAGTTGTCGCGTTGCCCAGCTTTTCGGCTATGTCTAGGATGGCTACATTCTGTAATTAACATAATAACATATTTAATATAGGCTACGACATGTCTAATCATGTTTTAACAAGTTACATAAAATATTATCAGACATTACAGCTCATCAATCTAGCAGTACCTACCTTAAAAAATGTAGATTTAAAAAGATTAATTTGATTGATACGTCAACAACGTAATTAATTTTATTTTTATTTATTTTTGGAAAATTGAAGAGAATGTTTCGAGAACCGGTCTCGAAACATTCGTGACACAAGTTTTTACTTTTATTTATCCTCTTTTGTGTGGATGGAAAATCATCAAATAACTCCTTCGACACGCCCTGAACGGGGCGTAAGAAGACCACGGATGGGACCCAACAGGGCTGATTCCGATTCGGAGCCGCGGAGAACCTAACAGGTTACCGGGGCTCCGGCTCGAAACGCAGGAGAAGGAACGGGGTGGTTTTTAGTCGGTAAGAGTCTGACACTCCCACCCGCCCCAACCAGGCGGGAGCAGTCGTTAGATGATTTTACCCCCTTAAAAAAAGTGTCAGACTGACTGACCCGACTGATAAAACCACCCCGTACTAATAACTCTTGCCCCAAGCGGGGCTAACGCGCTATGACTAGCCTCACTAGCGACACCGGCATGACAGGAACATTCGTAGTATTTTTGAAGAAGGATTACAAAATAACATATCCTGTTTTTTGAGGATTCTAAAATATCACTAAATGAAGTTTCCTCTTATAAGAAACTGACATAATACCTTGGCTCCATGTTCTAGGCAAGCCTTTGCGTATCCCGCACCAAGTCCGGAAGCACCTCCCGTAATAACAAACGTTTTGTCTTTAACGTCCCACATCGCAAATACGTCCGTCCACTGATAAAACAATACAATACAAAATACGAACTAACTCGAATCGTTATAACAGTAACCTATCTTATATAATAATCAGCTTAGGTATTTGTACAATGTTTATATCAAGAACTTAGGCGTCATACATTTTTGGATGTTCATTTTAGTGCTAAATTGTGTCTGTTGGCTGTATTATCATTATAATGATATCAGCTTGTCGAGATTCTTTGCTGGACATATTAACCTGTCGTGTGTCTAAACATGGGTCCACAGAAGACACAATGTATTTTCTATTGTGTCTCTTATCGGTGCATTCAAGCGGTTAAACGTGAAATGCTAATTAAACTGTCAAATACCAAGCGGTCACCGGTGACCGCAACCTATTGTTCTATAATTGTGTCTACAAAACCGGTACTCGACGAGTTAAGTCGACTGCCAATAGAGAACTTTTGGACGCAAATCCTCAATCCTCTGCCAAAGTCCGTCGTCGGTGACTCTCATATCATTTAACAAATCTTTAATTTAACAGTTTCATTGATATAATCCAAAGGATTACTGCCGATACGCAACCGCAGAGGAATTAACGGGTTACCAGGGCTCGGGTTCGAAGTGTAGGACTAGGAACGGGGTAGTTTTTAGTCGGTAAGTCATTCGATTATTTTCTACCACCAAAAACCCAAAGGATTAACAAGCTGAAGTCAGTGGCCAGTCTCATTAGTAAAAGAACGGATTATAGTTAGAGGGTAGACATGTTCTAGAGTGCAGACAGCGAGCTCAGGTATTTGGTAAATGTAGTGTAAGGTGTCTTCCAACTAGATGGAATGAGAAGTGGGTGGCAGTAGGTGGTTAAATGCGTAAGGCTGAAGATCAAGCTCGGTGGCGTACCCCTGGGCGAGGTCTGTATCTGTAACGAGTAGCGGATGGAAGCAGGCTGTCTGAACAACTAATCTAAAGCGCATTTAAATAATTTATCTTAACAGTAAACTAAGTTCGTTGGTAAATGAATAATTGAATAATCAGTGTAGGTACCTAATTACATCAGTAAAATAAAAAACATTAAAAAAATTGTTCATACAAAACAAAGTATCTGAGTAGCTTCAGTTTAAGTTCAGCTTTATAATTATTGATAGTTAAATAACTGAATAATATCAATTCACACGCCAAACGATAAAAATAAAAAAGTCATCGTCATAAAATAGTTAAGTGACGAGTGCACAGCCTGTGTATTAATTACTAGCATTATAGCAGCCCGTCCCGGCTTCGCACGGGGTAGACAATTATTTATTTTTGGAAATTTGGATTGTTGTAGTGACATAACTACAATAGTTGGACATATGCTACCGCGGAGTTTTTTGTAGACATTATGATGTTCTTCAATATTGTTGTACCTACATTATTTTGTTCTATCGCCAATAGTTTCGGCAGCGCATTCATTCATTTTGCTACACCTTCGGTTACGTTGTTCACATTTTACGAATGATCCCTAATTTTTTTCAAAATGAAATGTAGCCTAATGTCAAATTGCAAGAATGTAGCATTCTATTGGTGAAAGAATTTTTTAAATCGGCCCGCTACTTTTTGAGCCTATTCCATTACAAACATACAAAAATAGGTACAAATATTTCCTCTTTATAACATTAGTATAGATAATCCAAGAACAATTTTTAAAAAAACTAGACTGAAAGCAAGGAAAAATTAAACTGATGACTGATGAGGAAGCGAGAAGGGTATGTAAGAATCATGAGTCTCTGCCTACCCCCCATGGGAGACAAGCATGTGAGATATATGTGTAGACAGTAGATCAGGGCGGTCTTTGTGTCAATATAAATATGCGCACTGTGCACGCTCAACCCCATAGATGAAGGCGTTGATATGTTTTATTGCACTCTGAGTGAATTCACTAAAGTAGCATAGGAATAAAATAAATAAATAAAAAAATAAAAATAATCACTGCTCGTGTTCCTATATGGTAGAATTTTTGTGGTATCTAGTGTACGAAAACGATATCAATGACGTAAACTAGATACCACAACATCTACGCCGTCGTTTATAGTAGCAGTGATTTATTAATGACAGAAATAAAGCAGAAACATTCTCATTATTCGAATTTAATTAACGATAAGTGATTTCTGAACGAATATCACAGCGCTGAGTTGTCATTCTGCACGTCATTGCTATCTACTGTCAATGTCAAATTGTCGAACAAAACTTTTAGCTTGGCCAAATATTATTCCTTTTTTGTGTTAAATGTAACTATTTTCACGTCCATAAAAACCGAAACGCCTTTATTTCGTTAAAAATATTTACTGTTTTGTTTTTACGAACTTTTAACTAATTGGAAGGGCATACTAAAATGGTAATCATCCCTTATTTTGTTCATCATCAAACAAGAAAGTATAAATTAGATTATATTACTATTTAAACGTTGTTTGTTTCAGAGTGCAATATTTAATTTCCAAAGTTTGTTGTCTGTTATATTACTCCTGATATGCACCTGTGCATACTTAAGATCTTTCTTCCCTAGTATAATGGACCGCAATAAGACAGGGTATGTATTACGTTAACTAGATAATTCTCTCGGTACACCTCTTTCCCGTAAATTTATGTGAAGATTTATTTCGTTATTATATCAAGATAACATAATATAAGCAGTAGCTTAGCTTCAAATCTTTCAGACTATTGTAGTGATTGGGCAAGACGGATGACAATTGTATTGTAATAAATGTTGTTGTTATGTCCTAGTCAATAATGCTTTTCAATTGGAGTTCTCCATCTCAAAAAGTAATATTTCAATATCAATTTTTTTTTCAGATTACTTGGAACATTTTGGAAGTGTGCTAGGATTGGTGAGAGGAAGTCGCCCTATGTTGCAGTTTCTTGTATTATTATGGCATTCAGTATATTGTTCCTCACATAATTGTATACCAAACCAATAGCTGTAACAGTACATGTAAAAGATTAACTAATATTTTTTAATTTGTAAATAAATTTATACAAATAATTATGGGTTTTATGATTTTTGTATTAGAGGAAATATTTTAAAAATTACAATGAAACTGTTACTGTCAAATGCATTAATAATATTACAATAATTTCTACATCTGGTATGAAGCAAATACAAAAAGCCTAACAATCAGTCGGGCAAAGAATGTAATATAAATAATAACATACGAGTTTGAATTATTTTTAGTTTCACTTGAGATGAGTCTGAGTCTAGTTTATACTCCTTGTATGGCATATTCTCTAGTATATAATCACAATGCCACAAGCACAAATAACACAGTTTACACTGCATAGAAATATGTAGTTTTTTTTTTAAATGTAGGGAAAATCATCGAATGACTGCTCCCGCCTGGGTGAAGCGGAAGGGAGTGTCAGACTCTTACTGACTAAAAACCACCCCGTTCCTTCTCCTGCACGTCGAGTCGGAGCCCCGGTTACCCGTTAGGTTCTCCGCGACTCCGAAAATATGTAGTGTAAACTGATATTAAAACCATAATAGGTACACTACACACCCTTACCTATTTATAGAAGCGTGTGTGTGTGTATTTTACAACTGAAAGGTTGCGTTTAGTGTGCCGCGAGCTGTCATACAGTAAGCACGTACAATATTTTCGTTATAAGTTATATCTATTTTATTCTTTTTACGTTGGGTATAATGGAGGATAGTAACAGTGAAGAAGATATGAGTGACTCAGAATTTATAAAAAATGTGGAACAAGAATTTACAGAAGTTGCTGGTGAAAAGGTGATTGAAATAAGTAATGATAATTTAGCTATGAAAGCAATGAAAAGGAAGGAAAGAGATGAAAACAATGGAAGAGAAAGTTCATTAAGCGATGAAGAGGGATTTATTACGGTTATGCGAAGAAGACCTAAAGTGTTAATCAGGAGCAATTCTTCGGAGACACAAAATGACGTGAGGGTAGACGTAAGAAAAAATCACTTTGACTTAGAATCTGTTGATAAGTATGAGGTGTCCGTTACGGCATTAGAAGAATTACCTAAACAAATTGCTATGGCTAAAATTTTGAGATCACATGATATTACCGGAATCGAACGTATTAAGTATAAAAATGTAAACAAAGTCTTAATTACATTTTTTAAAAAACAGGATGCCTTGAACTTAATCAATTCCGAAAAATTTAAAGAAATTGGGTATCGCTGTCAATTTACACACGAATTAAATATGATTCATGGAGTAACAAAAGGTATCGATTTAGATTTGAGTGAGGAGGAACTTATTAAAATTCTGGAATGTGATGTGAAAATATTGACTGTAAAGAGATTGAACAGATTAAATAATGAGGGTTCTTGGGTTCCAAGTGAGGCTATTAAAATATGTTTTCAAAGCAAAAAGTTGCCAGAATATATATGTGCATATGGGTGTCGTTTTAGAGTTGACCCATATTGCTTTCCGGTTACCCAATGTACGAGATGTTGGAAATTTGGACATATAAAGAAATTTTGCGCTAATAAAAAGTCACTATGTCCCAAATGTGGTAGTACTGAGCATAATAATTGTGAAATTGACTTGTTTAAATGTTTGAATTGTCAAGGTAACCACTTTGTGCTGGAGAAAACTTGTCCTTTCTTTGTCAGAGAAAAGGAAATAAGAAAGATTATGAGTAATCAGCAAATAACTTATCGAAAAGCACTCGAAATTTTCTCAAATGGGAAAAAGACAATGCACATGTCACAAGATAAATCCAACACGTTAGAAAACATACCTATAATAAGTTCAGTCAGCCAGAAAAGTACTTACAGCAGTATTGTGAGGAATAACTCAGTTCATAATACATCATATGGTGTAGACGAAGTGGAAAAAGAAGTAATAAAGCGAAGCACTGAAGAAGATGTCATAAAATCAACACGAAATCCAATCAGAAAAGGAAGAAAAGAGGTGAAAAATTTAGAAAACTCACAGAATTCTATGGATATAATCACAGAAGATTGTGAGCCAGAAGTACAAAATGCAAAAGTGAATAAAGAACGTCATCAGCAGCTCAAGGATAAATTTAAATTTAAACAGTTTTGGGATAAAATTAAATATATTATTATGGGTGATAGTAATATAGAAGAAAAAGTAATGTCGGTATTAAAATTTATTCTGCAAGAAGTAAAGAACTATTTCATAGGAAAATTATGTACAAACGATATGCTAAATCAATTATTTAATTTAATTAATGGATAATAGGTCCAACTACATAAGAGTTAACATAGTTCAATGGAATGCCCAAAGCCTACGCCCAAAATTGGTAACATTTACAGACCTGCTATTACGAGAAGCTATACACATTGCTATTATTAGCGAAACTTGGCTAGATATTGAATCCTACATAAATATGAGTGACTACAATATATACAGAAAGGACAGGGACGATGGTTACGGTGGAGTTGCTATTGCGGTCCATAAGTCAATTCAATGTTATCAAGAGCCATTTTGTGTGAATAATACAGGAATAGAAGTAGTGAGTATAAAATTAATCAATTGCAAGGACTTAGAACACGTAGTGTCGGTTTATTGCCCGTCTAGTGTTCAGACTCAAGCCTCGGACTGGGATAATATTTTTTCGAAGTTTTCCTGTAAGACTCTAGTAGCCGGGGATTTCAACGGACATCACACCAATTGGTCGGGTAAGTTAGATACACGAGGTTCACAAATTTTGGATGCTTCTTTAGATAACAATTACATATCAATTAACAACGGTGGATTCACACGAATTAAGTTAGTAAATGGCTGCCTACAGCAATCTTCCCCCGACATTTCATTTGTTTCGTCGGATGTGGCCATTAAGATTAGGTGGTACGTCTCTAATGAAAATTTGGGTAGCGATCACCTAATTATCAGAATGTCATTAAATATAGCAAATAGTTTCACACCTCTCCGTAAACGTAATTACAAAAATGCTAACTGGTATGAGTACTCACGAAATATAGAAGAAAATATTAACTCACTTGAAAATAATACAGATGATATTCAATACATTTATGACCAGTTTATAAAGGTTATTGACACGGCAGCGAGCAAACATATACCTTATACTAAGTGTTGTAATAAACCTGATAATAAATTTAAACCAAAGAGTTATTGGAAACCAGAGTTATCCAGAGTTGTCGCGCAAAGAAGGATGGCCTTAGTTAACTTCCGACGAAACCCAACTCCTGACAATCTTACAAAATTAGAAAGTATAACACAAAAATCTCACAAATTAATTCGAAAAGCTAAATCAGAGAGTTGGCATAAGTTTTGTGATTCCTTTAACGAAAAGGTTTCACCAACCCACGTTTGGCAACGCATGAAATGGGTCAAAGGATTTAGACAACAAAAGATATTCCCTTCTAATGAAAAATGTTTAAACTTATTATATTCCCTTACTGCAGATCATGTTTTACCAGCAGAACCCATTTTCACGTCTAAAAATGAGTTAATAGAATCTGAATTTTCAATCTTTGAACTTCAAGCTGTTTTAAAGAAAAGGGATTCTGCGCCAGGGGAAGACGGTATTTCGTATACAATGCTATACTACCTACCTATTTCGGCTCAAATAATGCTGCTTAATTTGTATAATAGAATTTTTATAACCGGAAATATACCTTCCCAATGGCGTGACATCCTAATAGTCCCTATTCCTAAAAACAATAACAATAATAGTAGTAGTGAAGTTAAATTAAGACCAATATCTTTAATATCATGTACGTGTAAAACCTTGCATTTAATGATTTTCAGGCGTTTAGAGTGGTATACGGAGAAAGAAAGAATATTGTCGTCGTCCACAGTCGGTTTTAGGAAGTCGCAGTCTTGTTTGGATTGTTTGACTCGATTAGTTACCTACATTCAGATTGGGTTTTCAAAAAATAATGCAACATTAGCCTGTTTCTTGGACATTGAGAATGCCTATAACAATGTTTCAGTTGATATAGCAGTGAATTTGCTGGACAATCTGAACGTAGGCGCTAGACTGTGTAAATACCTTTGGAGATATTTGAGTGAAAGGCACCTAAATGTAAGGTTAAATAATGGTAGTATAGTAAGCAGATATACTAATGCAGGCTTAGCTCAGGGGGACCCACTCTCTCCTCTTCTCTTTAATCTAATTACCCATAAAATATGTCATAAACTACAGAATGTGGAGGCTTCACAATATGCAGATGACTTTGTAGTGTATATTAGTAATAAGGACCTCAAATTATGTGAAAAGGTCATTCAAGATGCGTTGGATACAACCGTGGTATTGTTAACTGAATTGGGCTTAGCGCTTTCGCCAAACAAGACGCAATATTGCCTTTTTAGTAAGGGCCATAGAAGAATTATTCCTGTTTTAAAGGTATACTATCAACAGTTGACGTATACAGAAAATGTCAAGTATTTGGGTATGTGGCTGGACAGGAGTCTAAAGTGGGGCAAACACATTAATGAAATTTCGTGTAAATGTTCCAAATTTTTAAATATATTGAAAGTATTGGCCGGAAGTTCTTGGGGAATACATATGTCACACTTGCGACGATTATATATATCCCTAATTAGAGCTCGTATTGACTATGCCTGTTTCTTATATGATTGTAGTGTTAAAAGTCACGTTTCCAAACTTGATAAAATTCAAAATCAAGCGTTGAGGGTGATAGGGGGCTTTATAAAGAGCACTCCAATTTATGTCATGGAGAGTGAGTTACATGTGGCACCTCTGTTTGTTAGGAGACAATATCTAGCTTATAAATATTTGATTAAAAACAGATCAAAGTCGATGAACAGTACTAATAAATTAATAGCTGAAATAAATAGCTTAATACATAACAACAGGTATTGGACTAATAAAAAGAAACCCCTACTTGCACAATCTTTCAGGGATGCGAATCAAATCAATTGTATTTCAATGGACACTCTTAAAATGTTTAGCTTTGAAATCTGGTTGTCAGCTGTGGGTTTTCAGAAATACTTAAAAGATAACCTAGAATGTATATCTTCGGCAAAATCTAAATATGAACCTAACGTCCTAATTAACAATGTACTGAGAGAATTATGTGTGAAGTATGAGGGCTGGCATAAATTATACTCTGACGGTTCCAAGGGAGCTGATGGCTTGGGCGCAGGTTTTTATGATCAAAGCTGTAATTACAAACAAGGTTTTAAAGTTATCTCAAATGTATCTATAATGACGCTTGAACTCATTGCAATTCATCAAGCTTTGATTTACACAGTGAGGAATAATTACAACAAAATTGTTATTTTTACTGACAGCAAGAGCGCTATATTGCACCTGGCTCGATGCGCCTCTGGTTGCAGCAGAGGTACATCGACAGCCTACGACATCCTAAAAATAATTTTGAATTTTAGCAAAAATAACACAGAGGTGAAGGTGCAATGGGTTCCAGCACACATAGGTTTAATGGGAAATGAGGAAGCTGACCGTCTGTCGAAATTAGCTGCTAAGGAAGGAATGCAACTTGATTATACACCTGATTATTTAGAATATTTACCTGAGTTTAAACAGAAATGCTTCGATGTTTGGCAAAATCATTTTACAGTGACATCAAAAGAAAAAGGCATATGGTACAAGACCATTCAAGGTAACCTTCCTCAGATTCCCTGGTTTGAGAATAGTAAGGTAGGCAGAAATTATATTAAGTTATTGTTACGATTACGTTCCGGACACTATCCATCAGCGAAATTTGGGTTTCTAATGAAAAAAATAACCTCACCCAATTGTACGACGTGCAATGTTATAGAAGACGTTCAACATCTACTGATGGATTGCGTCAGGAATCAAAGTCAACGGAACGATCTGGTCAATGAATTCCAGCTAAATATACAAGAGGTAGGGTTGATACAATCTATTTTAGCTCAGCCAAATTCTGAATTAGCAAAACGATTGTGTCAGTTGATGTATTTCGTTGACTAAGTTAATTAGGAACTTTCATGTTTAATTTTAAGGTTTTGTTTATTTTGTTTATATAATGATTGTAGGTAGTATTAGGTACGATGGGGTTGGCGTATCCTCATGGATAAAAACCCTGTATTAATTACATGTAGAATAAAAAAAAAAAAAAAAAAGGTTGCGTTTAGCCTTTCGATTGGTTGGTTAAATGGAACAAGCCAATCATAGAGCCGAACGTCATAAATGTGTTGTATAACGAACTTGTACTAGGCCTTCTGCACACTTTCATCTTTCCATCGTCATCATTGTTACCATGAAGAAAACAAAACATTTTAACTCGTCGAGTACCGGTTTTGTAGACACAATTATAGAACAATAGGTTGCGGTCACCGGTGACCACTTGGTGTTTGACAGTTTGAATGGGCAAACAATAAAACACACATAAATTTTTAGTAATTTTATTTTATACGTGTCTGGGTTTCTAAAAATAGAAAATGCTAAGGGATAGAATATAAAGAGATTACAAAACAGTCACAAAATCTAATACTAACCATTATAATATACCTTGTTATAATTTTCTCATAACTGAATAACCATAATGAAACAAATAAATGCTTTCAATAATATAAACAGCGAGTGTAAGCATCAGCCGAGTGATATGCAGGTATTAACTAGTGCAATCACTTTACAAACTGTGCCGATAATAAAACTGTGATTCAATAAACATGCTTGCAAATATTACATTGAATTATAAATTAACATATCAGTATAAATATTCATTAGTCTCAAATAATAATCATAGAACCAATGACATTATCAAATAACTTCAATTGGTGATCTGTGCTAACGGCAATTCCAATAAGCCTATAAACTTCGTCAATATGCCTAAAAATGTAATAAAATAAACATAAGCATTGTAAAATGTTTCAAAATATTAACAATATCAACGCCTATGCTATGGATATAATCTCTGAATTTCAGTACAAAATTTTTATCAAATCGGCCGAATATTGCAAATTCTTATCACTTTTTGTTACAATTTTGTGGAAAATCTAGTGCATAATACATAATACTATCATGTCTAATTGGGCTTAATTCAGTCTAGACATTGTCCTATCGTACGTAAGCTAAACACACTTAAATACAGCGACGACACATCCACTACTCCTACAAGCTACAACTAAATAAATAAATCAACTTCGATGCATTGATGCGCGTTTTGCAGTCATTTGAGAATAACCCACGATTGTACAACTATCCAGTATTAAAAAGCCATAATAACAATAAAAAGGCGGTTTCATAACAAATCCTTAATTAAAATCAATATCCGTTTGCAATTAAATAAATTCATTTTACAAAAATAAATTAAGTATAATAATACTCACAATATACTTTAACAATGCTCTCTGATTCTGTCTTTTACGTCTATTATGAAGTAAATAAATTATATTAGAAATACTTGAAACTAGCGTCGCGTCGCCTTCGTACTTGTATTTTATTAAAATCTGCAGAGATTTAAAATAGCAGCTTAATCAAATTGTGATGTGAAAGCGAGTGCGAGTATAATAAGTACAGAATATATGGCACTAGAAATATAAACTGTCTACAATAACAACACATTTATTGAGCAAGAGGAGGGGTAGGAAGTATGGAACGAGTTCAAGTCATTTACAGATTTGTCTAATTTACTTACAATATTTGAATAAACTACACAAATCTGTAGGCACCCTAAAATTGTAATAAAATTCCTAAGTTATAAAATCAAAGTTTGAATAAAATCATTATTCATATAAAAAAAATGCAAAATTTAATGAAAAAGTATTGAGACATTATCACAGAGAATCAATATAGTTGGGTGCACAGCAATGATTGTAAGTGCAACATTCAAAAATGTAATTTAGCAAACAACACCAGTCTATGAGTCACGACTCACGTCTATCACATTCATACACTTTACCTAGTACATTTTTGGTGTCTTAAGAATGATGGTCGAGCTTTACTCCTAAAGCTATCTACATCTAGATACACTACGAAAATAATCGGACTATAAATTACAAAAAATCTAAATAATCGAATAGTATAAAAGGATTAATTAATATTAATTCTATTCTTTACGATTTAAAGCATTTTCAGTAAGAGGTATTCTCATAATTACGATGTTCTCACTTCATTATTGCTGGCGAACTTTGACGCCTAAGAATATAATCGTATAATCTTATTGTAGCACAAAAGACGCAGCTACCTCAATCAAAGAAGACCTCTCAGTAAAAATAAATACTGAATTATAATATAAATAGAGCATATTGTGCTCGATTATTCTTATAACTAAAATAAATGCTCGTTTTAACTTAAGTATATGAAGGTTTGATCATATTTTTATCGTTTGATTTAAACAAAATCAATAAATAAGTCTTACGTAATACTAGAGAGCAGAATTTTTATTTATTATTTTTTTTTTAAATAAAATCGCATCAATGTCAGTGGATTTATAAGTGTATGTAAAATGCACTTAATAAAGTAAACTTTTGGCACGAATAAGCTTGAAACTAAATATGTACGCTTAGTTTGTCGTATAAAGTAATAAGACTAAAGCTAACAATGACTATGCATGAACGACTATGGGAAATTCCTTATTCCTACATCGGAAGACTTACGTCTGCCGCTACCTTTATCGATAGTCCGATACAATTACTGCTTGTTACCCTGCAACAAAGAAAATTCAAGTGTTTTAGGATTTCCAATTTGAAAATAATCATCAAAAACATAGTGTCTAATTCACACCCTACATTAAAATTCCAGTAATATTTCTTTTACAAAACATAACATAATTTTATTATTATATTTTTTTTAGGACACGGAAAATCCTTATGAAGCCTACACTTTTTTTTTAAGGGGGGGAAATCATCGAATGACTGCTCCTGCCTGGGTGAGGCGGGAGGGAGTGTCCGACTCCTACTGACTAAAAACCACCCCGTTCCTTCTCCTGCACGTCGAGCCGGAGCCCCGATAACCCGTTAGGTTCTCCGCGACTACGAATCGGCATCGGACCTGTTGAGCCCCATCTGTATGAAGCCTACATTAAGATAAGATAAAAAATAAATAAAAATAAAATAAAATAAAATAAAATAAAATAAATTTATTTCAGACATACTGGGTCCATACATTTACAGTTTAATATTATGAAATATATATAATTCTTAATTAATTTAATTTAATTCATTTAATTTAATTTATTACATTATAACACCGCACTATCAATCATTGTTATTTTTTTTATATTGTCAATTTAATTAATGTCAATTTAGGTAAAGAAATATCATAACATTTTTTTTTTTACAACAATAGAATTAACTTAAGTATTTGCCTCCCTTTGAGGCACCGGCCACGCACACTTGAGTTTGAACCCAGTGCCTCATAAGGGGGCTATCCAGTTTTTGGGTGAGCACGCTCAAGATGGTGTTGGCGCTCCCACGCGTACGGAACATCAGCGAGGCAATGCGGCGCCGCAGCACCGCGTGAAAGGCGTCAGTGCGCGCGTGCGCAAACATCGCAGACGCACTACAGCAGCGCGGGAGCCCCACCAGCACCCTGAACGCGTTATTATATTGTACACGGAGAGCGTTGATGGCCCGCTGCGTGTATCCGACCCACAGATTGCAGGTGTAGAGAGTTTGGCAGAATGCTTTAAACAACGTGATCTTTACCCCAAGACTACACCCCGCAAATCTGCGTGCCAACATATTACAGCGGACCGCCATCGCCCTCCTCTCTCTTTCTATGTCCCTATCGTCTTTTAAATCCTCGGTTACCACATGGCCGAGGTATTTAAATTCCTTCACTCTTTGAAGAGTGACAGCGTTAAGCAGTACAGGTGCCACATCCCCCAGTTTACGACCCCTGGCCTGAAATACCATGAGCTCGCTTTTCTGCTCATTGTATAGGAGACCGTGCACTTTCGCATACTTCTCACACACGCCTATCATCTTTCTGAGCGCGGCTACTGATGGGCTGAGCAACACCATATCGTCTGCGTAGCTTATACTATTGATACAGCAACCATCAATCGAGCATCCCACTCCGATGTTGCTCAGCTCATCAATCAGCCCGTTTACGTACAAGTTGAAGAGTGTAGGAGACGTCAACCCCCCCTGTCTCACTCCACACTCCAACCTGTACTCATCAGAAAGTTCATCAAGCCACTTGACCTGGTTAGTTTGGTGATCATACCAATATTTAAACATATTAATTATCTCGCCTGGCACACCTGAATACTTCAATTTATGCCAGAGTATATCATACCTAACCAGGTCAAAAGCCCTGGAGAGATCAAGAAAGGCTGCATAAACAGGCGTGCTCCTGTCTGTGTAATACCTGACAGTCTGCTTGAGAGACATAACTGCGCATTCTGTCGAAAGTCCTGGTCTAAAACCGAACTGTGCGTCGTTTAATTTTAGATGTTTCTTAAGCTGTCTCTCAAGCAAGCCATCAAGCACCTTAGCTGTGGTTGTAGCTAATGAGATTGGGCGGTAGTTGCTCTTGTCAGAATTATCTCCAGTCTTGTTTTTACTTATAGGCACTACCACCGTCTTCATCAGCTCATTTGGCAGATAGGAATGCCTAATACAGAGCGTGAATAACAGTCCCAGGAGCCTCGGGAGGTGTGACCCCGCATGCTGAAAATGTTCGATGCTGATACCGTCGTGACCGGGTGACTTCCCTCGAGTCATGCCCTTTATTATTAGCGTAACTTGTTTTGCTGTGACACGATCAGGAACCCCTGTCACGACGACCTCCGCATCTCTAGTCTGCTCACCTTTTAGCGGAGACTCCACCTTAAAGTGACACCTAAACATGCCAGCAATGTCTTTTGGTTCACAGATGCCGCTGATACTCACAGGGACGCCAGGCTTTGGGTAATTAAAATATTGGGATAAAGAGGACTGTCAGAGAGCTAAGGGGTCATCCATAAATACGTCATACGAATTTTATGATTTTTTGCCCCTCCCCCCGTACTTGTCATAGCTAGTCACATTTGTGAGACCCCCCCCCCTCCAGTGTATAAAAATTATTGAATGAACACAACGGTTCCGAAATCAGTTTTATTTCTATTTAAATTACTTTAAAAAAATATTAATACCAAATCAAACAAAATTTCTTTTCTTTCTTTTGAAATGTGACATCACATGTGTTTTGGATCCCTCCCTCCCCCTTGTCACACTTCGTCGACCCCCTCCCTACCCCTTAACGTGTGACGTAATTTATGGACCGACTAGTCCAATAGGATCCAAGTAAAATATACCTATGACTTCAGTGAACATAGTAAAAAATACAACGGTTACAAATTACCTGTGTATAAGTAGTTGTATCCTATCTGATCATCTCGAGATACTTATGCTTGTGTTTGGTGAGCATCTCAGTGACTGTCACCAGTTTCCTTATAGCCGGCTGAGTCTTCGCCAGTCCTTGCAACTCAGTCAGGTGAGAGACGCATATGTGATGCAGAGTTGCTAGTTCTTTAGCTGTAAAGGAGAATGTTATTGAAATAAGATAAACAATGAGAACAAATAAAGTCTATAATAGAATGGCCGATATGTCTGCTTATCATATAAAAATCAACTTTAAAGACATTTTCAATGCTAACATGCCCAATAAAATGATTAATCTTTCTTACCAATATCAAAATTGTTGTTGGTATTTGGTGGTGGGTTTCCAGGGTCAGGCACATTGCTCAACTGATCCAAGAACACGACCATTCGCTCCTTGTTCTTGAGAATAAATGGATTGACTACTTCCATATATGGCTCCTGTAAAATAATATAATAAAAATAATAATGAGACGAGTGTTAGTAGAGATTTTACAAGTTTACTGGCCGAGCTCTCTGGCGTAGCACTGTAAAGGCGTCTTCCTACTTTAAGTGGGAAGCGACTGATAATGATGACGATAATATGAAGTCGATTGCCCTATGTTTATTTAAAGAAATCATAATCAGAAATACAATACGTCAGGATAACGAATGGTTAAAGAACGATCATCTCACATGTCACAAAAATGTTACACAACATTAAACTTATACCAGTATTGATTTAATTGAGTATCACTTAACATTTCACGTTTGTACTGCAAAATATAACAAGTTATAGTGGTAGTAAATGACAAAAGCAGGGTGATATTACCTTGGCCCCAAACTCCACAAGGTTGGCGAGGTTCTGCAGACATTTGGCCACCATCAGCAGCGAGCGCTGCGCGTGCGCCGGCGGGGAGCTAGACACCAGGCCCCAGCCACGGGGCTCTACTAGTGCAGGGCAGATCAGGCGGAGAAAGATGAAGCCTGTAATAATAGTATAAATAAAATAGAGCATCCTTTAGTGTACATAATCCGATGCTTCATTTACACGTAAAAATGTAAGTCAGTTTGACAAATGAAACACTGGGTTTCTTTATCTAAATGCTATGCCAGGGACTATATATGCTTATAGTTCTACAACTGTTTGTTGTGTGTCTACAAAATAGGCTCACCCCCTATTACATGGGACTCATAACATAAATAGTGAAAAGTGGGTGTTACATTGTACAGTGGTATAATGTGCACCTCTGCCTACCCCTTCGGGGATAAAAGGCGTGATGTTATGTTCTACAACTGATATATTGAAATCTTTGTATGCAATACATACTACTGAGTTTTAAGGGCATTTATCTCTGTAATCAATTTTCTTAACACTATACTATGTCTACTTTTAAACCATTATTACATACCGGAGACGACCCTGGTCCTAACAAAGCGTTCATTGGGCCACTTGGCGACGGCGGCGCGCTGCAGGCAGCCACACAGGTAGCGCACCGGCCGGGGACACGCCTCCGGGGACGTGAAGATCGACAGAGTTATCTACAATACAAGATAATTTACGTTACGAAAACAACAAAAGTCAAAGTAGTGTGAAAAAAAAACAAGTGTGGGAGAGCCATGCTTCGACACGAATGGGCCGACTCGACCGTAGTGATACCACGACCACACAGAAAACCGACGTGAAGCAACGTTTGCGTTGTGTTTTGTCGTGTGAGTGAGGTTACCGGAGGCCCAATTACCCTCCCCTTCCCCAATGTCCCCAATCCCTGAATCCCAAACGATGCTCAAACTCCTAATCCCCAAAATGCCAGTAACGCACTTGTAACGCCTCTGGTGTTTCAGGTGTCCATGGGCGACGCCGATTGCTTACCATCAGGTGATCCGTATGCTCGTTTACATGCATATGCCATAAAAAAAATACTTTACAACTCATTTTCTTGTGTGTTTCTGGCCTACACATCGTCGGTTACATAGAAAATGATGTAATTCAGAAAGGACAAATTTTACAGTACATTGTATGTACTTTGAATTCGTTTGAATCGAAATAACAGTTGTGACATCTAGTGAACTTGGCGTGAACTAATTAAAGTGTAGTTATTACATATAAAAAAATTAGGCTCGTTTTATGTAGTAATGTTATTTTCCAAAAACATTAAAAAAAATTTTTTTTTCATTTACTCGACGATATTAGTAAAACAGTTCTATTTACATCTTGTGAGCTGACAATCTGATTTAAAAATCTATATTTTGGAAAAATTTTGCTTCAGAAAATAAGTTGTTGTTTGTATGACAATACCATTTAGATTGACATACTCAAACTTGAATTGTCCTTATCGTTGGAGTAATTAAATAAAGGAAATAAGGTACATTAGGCAAGGTCCTTGAGTAGCCTCGAGAGCAATAGTTGAATATGAATTTAAATAACAAACCTGATCGAGTATCATGAGAAGGAATTCAGCGTTGTTACACGCATCGTCGGGTGAGTCCATTTTCGTAGGATTCAATTCAGCCGATTGTTTCGCGTCGATTAATCTCTGAACGGTTTCCGAAATCGCCGCCTGAAATCGATAATAGTCAGATAAGACAAAGCACAAGAAGAGTACATTTTAGTATTTATTTAATACCTATCTAGTCCATAACTTATCTATGAAGAAATCAGTTTTGATTATTTTACCTATTGGGAATTGACACTGATAAACAGACTAGACAGATATAGATTTCAAAAACAAGCTATTTATTTGTCGCAGAAAGCGACAATGTTTGTAAACTAAAAAATATTGAACATTGAAGTATCACCAGTAGAAAAAATTATAGAAATCTCCTATAATTTTTTCTTTCTTCCTTCAAGGTTGAACGTGCACATGAACTGCTAAAGTGAATAACTGATTCCATGCAGTATAGGGACGTAGTATTTGTGCAATATTTTTTATTGTTGTTCAATGCCTCGTTGGCCGAGTGGTCGCAAGTGCGACTGCCGGGCAAGGGGTCTCGGCTTCGATTCCCGTTTCGGGCAAAGTATTACAGGGGTTTTAAAAAAAATCAGCAGTAGCAAGGAGTCTGGAATTGTGCCCGGTATATAGCAATAGGCTCACCCCCTATTACATGGGGCTCATAACATAAATAATGAAAGTGGGTGTTACATTGTACAGTGGCATAATGTGCACCTCTGCCTACCCCTTCGGGGATAAAAGGCGTGATGTTATGTTATGTTATTTTTTATTGTTCGTAGTTTTCGTCCATAAGAATATAATTTTTTTGTTAGAGCGTACTTGCAGGAACGGCTTGCAGTGCGCCCGCATGAACTCGTCGACGAGCGCGGTGGCGAGCGAGGCGGCGCGGAACATGGCGCGGTGGTCGGTCTCGCGCGCCACCTCGGCGCTCACCAGCTCGCGCGCCAGCTCCGCGCCGCGCCCGCACTCCGTGAACGCGTGCAGCAGCGCTGCGGACGGGACGGCACATTACTCACATCATTGTCATTGTGTGTCGACCAGATACCGCTGGAAAGACGTTCATTGACGAGAAACGACCAAGAATCGCGAAAAATAGCTAATTCTTGAATCAGAGGCCTAGATCCACTTTACGTGAGGTAATGGAGTAAGTAACTGAGGAAAACAAAAGAAATTGTCTCTTAAATGCTTATGAGAGAGCAGGAATTAAATTCTTCCGTAGTCCTGTACTCTGTACATTACTATATGCACTATTGCTTATTGCCCCACACTGGGCTTTTCTTCTGTGTCGTGGGTGCGCACAGACATACAATTTTACATACACATGACACCCAGACTCGGAACAACAATCTGTGGATCACACAAAGAGTTGTTCCGTGCGGCAATCGAACCCGCGACACGTTGCACCCGACAACCGTGCAGTCAAATTACTGTTACAATACATCACTGAATCTGGTTTAATAATAAATACTCACAAGTAGCCAACGGTTGTCTGTCAGTACGGCAAAGATCCGCCAAAGCTTTGACAGCTGGTAGACCCGGCTCCAGTAGAAGTTGACGCAATGGATTGTACTCCTCTCGAGGCATTACCAGTTCTTGCATATATCTGCAGAAGACAGAAAAAACACAAAAATTTATACCAATTTATGATTTCCACGACAACAGTGCAGCTACAAAATGTTGATTTTTCGGATAAGGAATTTAGAAGTTCGGTGACCTTACTCATATGGCGAAATACATCGCTTTGGTTCTTTCAAGCCGACTTTCTGTAAGGCCGTAGTATCATTACGGTCGAAGCAGGCCAATTATAACAAAACAGAAGTTATTTACGTCAAAACATTAACATAGAGGATGTAATCGTTACCTTATACGCAATCTTAGAGAGCCCCATTCTCCGATCGGAGTCATGCCCGCCAGGGGATACCATTCTTCGATTTCTTCGCCATTCGCGAGATTCGCTAGTTCGATGGTTAATTCCGCAACCTAAAACATCACCATCACCATATTTATGTGACTGTATAGAATGGAAGTGGAAATCCTTAGAGGAGGCCTTTGTCGGCAGACAAGCTGTTCCACAAAAACACCTAGCTACCGATAGTTACAAAGCAAGTAATGAAAAATAGTTTATTAGAACTTTCTAATAAACTATTTTTTGAAGGCATGTTAAAGAAAATATGTAATATGATAAGAAACAGCAATAAAGGCTATTTTCATTTATAGAATGGAAGTAACAGTGAGATTGTATAATTTGATGATGTGATTTGTCTCACCTCAGATTCCTTTCCTCTCTTGCCCGTATTATGAACAGTGATCGTGAAGGAAGTTACATCTGGAGGCACATCGCTGGAAAACATAAACAACACGACATTTAGAACGTGTGGTGAAAGACAGATGTGAAGCTCACGGTTATTTTATAAATATTGAAGTAGTGAAAAATTGAGTTCTACTTACCTAAGTACCTTGGTTAAGAATAAAAGACTTTATTTACATGGATAGATGGAAAGAGAGATAGTACTTACTCAAAAACGAATTCATCATCCCAGTGTGGGTCTGGAGATGGGCGTGGTTTAGTGGATGCGACGGGGGCGGCGCCCAGTGCCAGACGCAGGTGCGGGCGGGGCGCCAGCCGCGCCGGCAGACGGTGCGCCGTCAGGCAACGGACGCGCAGCGCTCGGAGCCACACCACGCGGGCCACCTGCACCGGAACAGTATCAGATTATATACGATCTAACACATAAGTAAGGGTTCCACAGAAGTTAAAGTCAAGTTTCCACAACAAAAATATAATTTATAAAGTTCAACAACTCATACACTTCCTAATACAACTACATGTCATTTAGACTTTCTAAGCACTTAAATTCGTTTCAAACAATCCGTACAGCGAGTAGAGACAGTGCTAATCAAGTCTTTCACTGGCCCACATCGCTACTAGACCGAGACAAGTTTTACACCTGACTAAACTAACGTCATAGCTCCTTAAAATCTAATAATTTACAGTTCAAATTACCTTGCACTGATGTCTAGCTTGCTGAGGCACACAGAGTGGTCGTAAGGCATCGAGCCAGGCGCGTTCCTCGCTGGCGGAGTTAGCCGCGAGGAAAGTATGGGTCGACAAGCAAGGCAACGCTCGCTCGACTAGTTGGAAGCAAAATTCACGCTCCCAGAGCGATTCGTGGCACTGGAAATAACATACATGGCAATAATTATAGGTATAGTCGCCTATAAGTATAAGTTATCAAAGAAATTACATGTTCTCATTGGGGAATAACAGTCATTATTAATGTTTGCTGATTTCATATCTTTCTCAAGGACATACATTACAAGTAAATAGGACGACTTTGATTTCATATAATCAAATGAACATGCAGAATGGTTTTTAAAATAACACAAGCGAATTTCAACCTTATTTAACCCACTATTTAGTAGTAAATAAGGTTCAAAATACCTGATATAGATAGGCACAGGAGAGATCAATCAGTCCTTTAGGCTTAGTCCTCTTTGGAGAGTCATAGAAGTACAGATGCGTGTCAGTCCCCTCTTGCAGAAGGACAAAGTACAAAGCCTTCCATTTCTTGGCTCCCTTATCCGACTTCTTGTTTAAGTAGCCTTGGTGTTTGATGCCTTTGGTCTTCTTGAGGCCTATCTGGTCACGACATTCCCGCAGTGTAGCGTAAATCTTCTCAGCCGCTGCCCCAGTTGTGTTCTGTTGCGGTTCAATCACATGGCCTTCTGCAATCAGCTGATGAGAAAAGACATTTTTAGAGTATTGTAATAAGGTTTAAAATAGGTTGGAATGTTGTTTTTAAAGGGTTTTGTTAGGAAATACTTTCTAATCTACAATTATCTAAATCCAGATAGTAAAGGGTTTAGTTTCAAGACGCTAAGCCAGCATAAAAATATTTTACCGCAAAAAAATTCTCGTAATGAATACAATTTATCATTTTAACACAATTAATTCCTGTCTGTACAATCGTTCTTTTATGAATGATGAACAGATAAAACAATGCGCAAAACCGTCGATACTAATCGTATCTTATCGAATCGAATTTTGTTTTGTATTCATTCGTGATAGCGAGCGATTTGATTTGTGTACAATGATAATAATAAAGTATGTTATTGGTGCAAAATTTTATGTTCATACTGCAATTTCATGTTACGAGTAAATATACTGTGTAATCAATGTTTTCAAGGTCTAAATCTTCTTACTAATATCATAAATGCGAAATTTTGTCATTTTGTGTATAAGTTTGTTAATTATGTCAAAACAGTTGAAGGGATCGGGGTGAAACTTAGAACATGGATAGATTATGGTCTGGAACAACAACGAAGTTATGTGCATATTAAAACTCCGTGAGACATACTAATTAATTATTATTTTCAGGTTACGCACCTAACTGTTTGACGAGGAACTAGGTTAGTTTCAAGCCATGCTATAGAGGCTCATACTCATAAGCAGCATTCCGCGACACGTGTCGCGGCTACTATCGCGCGCCTCTAGCATGGGTACTCTATAACTCACGTGAATAAGGGCTAAGATGCTGTGGGCGAAAATGCTGGCAAAAGCTTACTAGCTCCTACTGTATATTATATTATTGTTGACTACTTACCGGTTGTCCTAAAGTATGTCCTTCAACAATCTGCTCCTTCCTGTACCTATTGATGACAGCATCCAAGCATTCGAAGGTCCTGCCTCCCATGAGATACCTGACTCCTTTCTTCTCTATCCTGAACCTTTGAATCTGGTTGTTGATGTGGAAGAACAAGGAGTAGTCTCCGGGTGAGTTGTCCGAGGGTCTGACGAGGAAGCTTCCTGGACCAGCCTTGACTAGCATGTCGACTGCTTCACTTTTGGTGCAGTTCGGATGGAACCATGAGAAGACAGTGTTAGGATCGATTGAAGGATCAAGGTCCTCTACCAACTCTCTGAAGATCATTCCTTGTTCGCCAGTTCTGGTTCGAAAAAAAAAAGGAAAATGTTTCTTGGAATTACATTTAGAATAAGTATAAATAAAATAAAAATCAACTATTGGGCATAGTGATTGTAAGGGCAAAAAGTTACGTGCTTCATTACTACTGAACAAAACAAAGTAATACTAGCATTTAATTCCATAATTTTATGAACAATTCTGTATGAGTATTTTACAGTTCAAAGACGTAGTCATGTATAATTAATGATCTTTTCCTTTAGGAAAACACTAAAGACAAAAACTATATGAATAACAACAGCAAAAAACCGGAGCTAAATATAGCATATTACATTTGTACAAAGTTCCATTGAATCACCATCTGTGCTTATTACTTAACATGATAAAAAGGAAATATTTGTTACGTGTTCAAAATAATTATTCTTATTTGCACGCAGGAAAACCCGTCGTATATTTATGTATAAAAATAATGTGGCGGTATTAATAAATACAATTAATTTAATAATTTTGAAATGATCCAGTTATGTAGAAGTACATTTTTCCTAAATTCCACAATAATTGAGATAGTTTTGTTGTTGTTTTCGTTTTATTAAATAGTTTACTTGTAGATAATTTTATGCTGTAAATATTTATGCAGTTAAATAAACAAACTTACTTAAAAATATTGAGATAGCATACAAATTGATAATAGAAGAAAATAAATACACATTTGTCTCTGATCAGCGTAATAAACTCAAATTCTCTTAGAACAACGAAACAATTACCAACTACAGTAATGCCGAAATATTCAATTTTAAGACGCGATTTAGTAGGTATAGTGCTGTCCCTACAAATTCTTTGTAAAATGATAGATATGACACGATATATAAGTACAACTTAAAACTGATTAACCTTTCAAAATTCGTAAAACGCTTAATATTATAATCTAAATAAACTGTAATGATGTTGTCCAACACATACTTCTATTAAGACCATTGACTTGCAAAAATGTAACACCCCCAAAACTGTAAAAATGGTACAATAGATTTTAGATTTTATTACAAAACAATAAAATTGAATTTAATTCTCGTTTTGTTTGTACTATGGTCGGCGGCAGACCCTTTCTAAACAAAGCATTTGGAGGGAACTACGCATTAGTTGTACATTGTATAATACACATTTAATAGCAGGATATGAGATATCGAAAAATAAACGGATGCATTGATGCCGTAGTTAGATATCGGCCATTATCAGCTTGAATGAACTAGGTACTAGGTATTTGTAATACGGAACATGTATTAAGTCACGTTTATTATTGTTGTGTCTAAAAAAGTACCTTACAACCACTGCTGACCAAAGGTCTCTTCTCGCACGGAGAAGGTTTATGCATTAATCACTACGCTTGCTCAATGCGGGTGGGCGATTTCGAACTTATAATCAAAAATTATAAGTCCAGGTTTCCTCACTATGATTTCCTATACTGTTTGTCAGTGGTGTCGATATAATCTTAGACAGTAAATATAACTCAAAAAAGACAGAGGCTTAATTAAACCGACGATATTGTTAGTGGTCAATATAACTGATAGAACGTGAAGAAAACGAATTTAGGTAAAGGTGCTTCTTAACGCTAAGTAACTCTTAGTCACAAGGGTGAAAACAGCTATAAGAGTGGTACTTAAAAGATTACAATGAAGAACACATTATTGACTATCAAAACGACCTGTAAATTTAATATTTTTTCTTTAACTTACCTATGAGCAGTGACCCAGAGCCAGCCATCCCCCATATCGTTGTGGAGGAAGAATATATCACCTTTTTGGAAGGTTAACTCGTCCGTGTCCGGCATCTTCGTGTAAGGCAGTATGGCTACTACTCTCTGTCAAGTAAAAAAAAAGTTTATACGCGATGCCGCTACGTCTTCTTTTAAATTCACGCTTTTCGTCATTAGAAAACTCATGGCCAGTCACATAGGACTCAAAGCAAAAAATAGAAGTACAAATAATATATGCATGCCTATTCATAGAGGGAATAAAAAAGACGTGAAGTTATCAATATACGGACCTTTTTACCAACTCATTAAGTTTTACCTTTTTATCATTGACAGGTTCAGGTGGTGGCACAGGTTCCACAAGCCTTTCCCTCTTCAGGAGATCCGAGCAGTGGCTGTAGAAGCCCACCAGCTCCGTCAGTGAATCGAACTGACGACCGCCGATATAATAGTCGCCACATACCGCTGTTATTCTGTATCGATTAAACCAGGTGAATAAACAGGAAAAACTTAGTAAAATTTTGTTTTTAGGCCATTGTTATTCATACATTTGTGATTATTTATCTATACATACATACTCTATATTATAAAGAGGAAATATTTGATTATATTTTTGTTTACATTAAATAGCTAAATGGAAAAACTACCATTAGTAATTTTCTCTTCAGTAACTTACAATGGGTATCATTCCACTCCACACCGGCCTACACTATGCATGTCTAGCTAGAGACAATCCTCCACCCAAGAACATTTCGGGCCCCAACTGCACATAACATTAACAAAACTATAATTACCTGAAATGATTGATTCCAGTGCGGCCCAAGTAACTCAAGACATAGGATCCTGGTTTTCGATCACTCTCTCGTACTGAAAATATATAGTTTATTTACTAACTTAGATGTTAATCACTACCTACTATGGTGCTACTGTTACTTGCTAATTTTAATGAACAAAGGTTCAAATGAGCAGCTTGTGCAGCACCTATATGTGCAGCAGATACAAAGATTTTAAATATTTAAAGAGTTTATGTACTACATTTTTTTTCCTCTATTGAAAAATAGTGTTATAATTTTGTTATGACATTTATTGTTTATATTATGATATGAAAATTCAAACAATAACATTAATTTTGTACTAAATGTTAAACAGAATACCAATTCGAAATAATACAATAATTGTCATGTCAAACCCTTATTTAATGTACTGGTACATTAAAGTTCATAGACATAAGGAAATAGAATTAAAACTAAGACTTTTAAAGCTATCTTAACCCTTCTAGAATAAGTACATCAATTCAAAATACTATCCATCCATTGTTCCACATATTATGGACAGGTACCTGGTAATAAAACCTCAATCAATAATACCTTCATTGTGTTATCTATGGTTTACAAAAGAAAACAACAGAACAATGTATTTGCACTATAGTACACAAATGTTGAAGGAAATACTCATTCATTGTTATTGCATAAGCAACTCTCTTTAGAAAACACCATGGGAATTCATTCATTACACTCTTTGTCTTGTGTGGGAGTCAGAAAAATGTATAATTAAGTCTGTGGCTAAATTTTTTTAATGATAACTTTGTAAAAAAATATTTTAATAGCAGGTTTCTTATTTGAATCACACTTACAAAACATAATGTTAATATTAAATTATTCATGTGGTTGATTAAAAAATAAATGTTTTGTAATAACTAGGAACATTACATGAACTAAAAAGTATTTAAATGGCCACTACTTTTGTATACAGGCCTACAATGCCCTAACATCATATTCCTGTTATCAAATAATTGACTTGTTTCTTATAAGAATTTGTACCCATAATTTGATAGGAACTTTAGACTTTAACACTGAAATCTAAAATAGACTACACAACATTATTATTTAATTATTTAGGATATAAACATTAATAGCAATAAATGCTTTGGTTTAAAATTAAATAAACATAATGCATTAACACGAAACTAGCAGTTTTTCTGCAGTTTTTCTTAGTATATTCGCATGAATAACCGGCGATTTTTAGTTAATATAACACATTTTCTAAAATATACTAGGACTCACCAAGATAACTGCCAAGTTTTCCTGCAGCCCAAAGCCTTTCTTCGGAAGTATATCTATCCAGCCGACCATGATACCATTCAGTCTCCGGTGGAGCTAGCACAGCTTGTCTCTCACCTGGTAGATAATATCAATAAGACAATAATTCATAGATGTCCTGTATAATGATCAAAGCAGAATAATAGGACAATGCATAAATTCATACCATTAGTGCTGGGCCCATCAGCTTCATCCAGCTCCAAATCTGCCGCTAACTCTGCGATATCACCCCCGCCATCCTCGGACTCCGTCGAAGGAGACCCCAGCTTATCCTTTACTGGGGGTCCGATCGGAGCTCCCATAGCCCGAATTAAATCGGCCATCTTTCAAAACACAAATAATTTGTTTCCGAAACACTTCACTTGTATGCGTTAGAACCAAACCAGTGACTCATAGTTTATTCAGGAACAGAGCGATATAAATTTTTAGGAAATATCTCAAACGTGTTTACAATAGAAAAAAAAGATAATAATTGACCGTACTTGAAACTAATACAAAACGGATGCAACTAAAGGCAATTGTTCGATTTTAATACATTATTTCGCTGCATATACAAAACAGTTTCTGTGAACACACTTAATATGACAAAATAATTATTTTATTACAAATTTTATTTCAAGTCAAGAATCAGTTTCCATTCGATACGCCCGCAACACAGATGATAAAATAAATAGAATGAAAAACTTCAATTCAATGTTGTTCAATCAAATCATTGACATTATCATTCTAACAGTGTTGCAGTTTTTTAGTTCCTAAACTCCTAATTATTACGCAAAAAATACTATGTAACAATAGGACTGCTCCGCTTTTAAAAATGTCGAGATGTCTCTTGATAATATAAAAATATTTAGACATAATCAAAGAGGCAGATAAACATATAGACTGCTTTAAGCAAACAACTCATAAGCGCCCCTTGGGCGCTATTAATTTCTTTGGCACCACCGTCACTCTACTCTTAATCTATTTGGCATGCTCTAGGCATTTGCTTAGTTTACCTATTGGGAATAATACGGCTCTGACCATTAGCTATGTTATGCTCTGAGCTATCTACGGTACATACAATGAAATGTCGGCTCATACACATATTATTTCCTCTCGCGTCCGGGCCTAGTGCGGGCCATGATGCGGAGCGAGGGGGACTGGGATGCCGTCTCCTCCTTTTGCGAAGCAGTCATGCTAGCTAAGGAGGAGGCGGGACGCGTGAGGCAGCGAAGCGCTGCCTCCTCGCAACCCAGCCATCGCGAAGGACACACCGGGCGTCGGGGATCGCGGGACGATCTCCGGCCACCGTGAGCGCGGGCCTGCGGACGGCGAGCATGGGTGGCTCCCCGTCCGACCAGAAACAGACCCGAGCGTACGGCGCGTCGCGTTCCGCGCGCGCCTCAAAGAGCCATCAGACCACCACAGATGGGGCCCAATAGGGCCGATGCCGATTCGGAGTCGCGGAGAACCTAACGGGTAACCGGGGCTCCGGCTCGACGTGCAGGAGAAGGAACGGGGTGGTTTTTAGTCAGTAAGAGTCTGACACTCCCTCCCGCCTCACCCAGGCGGGGGCAGTCATTCGATGATTTTCCCCCCTTAAAAAAATACACATATTATTTGTTATTTTCTTTAACTGTACTGTCAAACACCAAGCGGTCACCGGTGACCCCAACCTATTGTTCTATAATTGTGTCTACAAAACCGGTACTCGACGAGTTAAAATAAATGAGAAACATGAAATTCTTATAGGAAATAACCAAGTATTTTGAAAACACAAAATAAAAAATCAAAAGAAGTAAAAATTGGTTAAAAGCCCGTTATTCAACTTCGAAAAATCAATAGGCAAACCCATGTCATTCATTCCATTCATTCAATCATGAGTTTTGCTTTTTCGTGTTGTGAATTTCTGATTTTCGTAAATCGTACTACGATTGTGATTAATCAATTTCAATTTGTGACTGACTCGCGTTGAATAAGCAGTGTTTTGTGTTTATAATTATTATAAGTTTCCAATAGTCTTGATATTTCTGTTAAGTATTAAATTGGTAAGTATGTCCCGGAATCTTCTTTATTGTAATTTATACTCCCTTCTGTTTGACGTTGTCAAGTTAGTTTCAGTTTTACTAAATATTTTAGTCAATGGATGACGCCATTTTGTGATCGCGAACTTTCTTTGTTCTTTGTCCTAGTTCGATAGCCTTCTCGTACCAGACATTACGATCGACTAAATTTATAGTTTTCATCGTCCTCAAATAGCTTTCCTCGATTGTTACAGATTTCACCATGCAGATTTTCGTTAAAACCTTGACGGGTAAAACTATTACGCTTGAAGTTGAGCCATCCGACACCATTGAAAATGTTAAAGCTAAAATTCAAGACAAAGAAGGCATTCCCCCAGATCAGCAACGCTTGATCTTCGCAGGAAAGCAGTTGGAAGACGGTCGCACACTGTCTGACTACAATATTCAAAAAGAATCTACCCTCCATCTTGTTCTGCGTCTCCGTGGCGGTATGCAGATTTTCGTGAAAACTCTCACTGGTAAGACGATTACCCTTGAAGTTGAGCCTTCAGACACTATCGAGAATGTTAAGGCTAAAATCCAAGACAAAGAGGGTATTCCCCCAGATCAGCAGCGGTTGATCTTCGCTGGCAAACAACTAGAGGATGGTCGCACTCTCTCAGACTATAACATTCAAAAAGAATCAACACTTCACCTTGTATTGCGACTCCGAGGTGGTATGCAGATATTTGTGAAAACTCTTACTGGCAAAACCATCACTCTCGAGGTTGAGCCTTCTGATACAATTGAAAATGTGAAGGCGAAGATCCAAGACAAAGAAGGCATCCCTCCAGACCAACAGCGTCTTATCTTCGCTGGCAAGCAGTTGGAAGACGGACGTACTCTTTCCGACTACAACATCCAGAAAGAATCAACTCTTCATCTTGTGCTCCGTCTGCGAGGTGGCATGCAGATTTTTGTCAAAACTTTGACTGGCAAAACCATCACTCTTGAAGTTGAGCCTTCAGACACAATTGAAAATGTGAAGGCCAAAATCCAGGACAAAGAGGGTATTCCCCCTGACCAGCAGCGACTTATCTTTGCTGGCAAACAATTAGAAGATGGCCGCACTTTGTCGGATTATAACATCCAGAAAGAATCCACACTGCACTTGGTACTACGTCTGCGAGGTGGTATGCAGATTTTCGTCAAGACCCTCACTGGCAAGACCATCACACTGGAGGTTGAGCCATCTGACACCATTGAAAACGTAAAAGCTAAGATCCAAGATAAGGAAGGTATCCCTCCTGACCAGCAACGTCTTATCTTCGCCGGCAAACAGTTGGAAGACGGACGCACTCTGTCTGACTACAATATCCAGAAAGAGTCAACCCTTCATCTTGTCCTCCGTCTGCGTGGTGGTATGCAGATTTTCGTCAAAACTTTGACTGGCAAAACCATCACTCTCGAGGTTGAGCCTTCAGACACGATTGAAAATGTAAAGGCCAAGATCCAGGACAAAGAGGGTATCCCTCCTGACCAGCAGCGTCTTATCTTTGCTGGCAAACAATTAGAGGACGGCCGCACTTTGTCCGACTACAACATCCAGAAAGAATCAACTCTTCATCTTGTGCTCCGTCTGCGAGGTGGTATGCAGATTTTCGTAAAAACCTTGACTGGTAAGACTATTACTCTAGAGGTTGAGCCTTCGGATACTATTGAGAACGTCAAAGCCAAGATCCAAGATAAAGAAGGCATCCCCCCTGACCAGCAGCGTCTTATCTTCGCTGGCAAGCAGTTGGAAGACGGACGCACTCTGTCTGACTACAATATTCAGAAAGAATCAACCCTTCATCTTGTCCTCCGTCTGCGAGGTGGTATGCAGATTTTCGTAAAAACCTTGACTGGCAAGACTATTACTCTGGAGGTTGAGCCTTCGGATACTATTGAGAACGTCAAAGCCAAAATCCAGGACAAAGAAGGCATCCCTCCTGACCAGCAGCGTCTTATCTTCGCTGGCAAGCAGTTGGAAGACGGACGCACTCTGTCTGACTACAATATTCAAAAAGAGTCAACCCTCCATCTTGTACTCCGTCTGCGAGGTGGTATGCAGATTTTCGTCAAAACTTTGACTGGCAAAACCATCACTCTCGAGGTTGAGCCTTCTGACACGATTGAAAATGTAAAGGCCAAGATCCAGGACAAAGAGGGTATCCCTCCTGACCAGCAGCGTCTTATCTTTGCTGGCAAACAATTGGAGGATGGCCGCACTTTGTCCGACTACAACATCCAGAAAGAATCTACTCTTCATCTTGTGCTCCGTCTGCGAGGTGGTATGCAGATTTTCGTAAAAACCTTGACTGGCAAGACTATTACTCTGGAGGTTGAGCCTTCGGATACTATTGAGAACGTCAAAGCCAAGATCCAAGACAAAGAAGGTATTCCCCCTGACCAGCAGCGTCTTATCTTCGCTGGCAAGCAGTTGGAAGACGGACGCAGTCTTTCAGACTACAACATTCAGAAAGAATCCACCCTGCACTTGGTCTTGCGCCTTCGTGGCGGCAACTAATTGATCTATTTTACTATATCCTACAATGGTTTATTTATATTCACATTCAAATTTCAATTTTTCTGATCATTCCAATTTCAATATCTAGGTAATTCCAACATTTTGATTCAATAAATATCTTTCACTTCCGATAGTAACTTTGTATTTTATTTTTACCCATTCTAGGTACAATAACAAATTGCAATATAGGAACTTACACAAAATGAAACTGTCACAAGCATACACAAAAAGCTAAAATACTTGCATTTTTAATTTATAGAAAACTGACGCCACCCTGCCATATCTAAAATATTGGTTATGTAACAAAGTACAACAATGAGAATTGTTTTTAGAATTGCGAATGAAAATACTTCATTTTACTAAATTGAATTTGGGGATTGCACAGTGCAGTTATTTTAAGGGGGGAAAACATCGAATCACTTCTCCCGCCTGGGTGAGGTGGGGGAGTGAGTGTCAGAGACTCTTACTGACTAAAATCTACCCCCGTTCCTACTCCTGCACTTCGAGCCGGAGCCCCAGTAAACTTAAGCAGCCCGTGTTCTCCGCGGCTCCGAATCTGCATCAGTCTTGTTGGGCCCCTTCCGTGGTGGTCTGATGGCTCTTTGAGGCGCGCGACACGCCGTACGCTCGGCTCGGGTCTGGTTCTGGTCGGGCGACGAGCCACTCATGCTCGCCGTCCCGCAGGCCCGCGCTTCAGTGGCCGGATCGTTTCGCGATCCCCGACGCCCGGAGTGTCCTTCGCGACGGTAAGCGCTGCCTCATGCACCCCGCCTCCTTAGCTAGCATGACTGCTTCGCAAAAGGAGGAGACTGCATCCCAGTCCTCCTCGCTCCGCATCATGGCCCGATCAATCTATCCACATTTGTTTCATTTGTAATATAAAATTGAAGAGTTTGAACAATTTTTGTATTTGTTGTATTATTTGATAGTTCATTTATCGAAGAAGGCTATTAAAATATGACGCTACCATCAACATGAACCCAGCAGCGGGAATAGCTAGAATCTAATAATGGAATGTAAGTTTTGTGCTATACTGTAGCAATTTACGTATACCCATTACATATACCTACACACGATATTAGTCAAGGCTAGAATAAAAATTGCAAGTGCCAAGGTAAATTTCGTAAATTTTATGAAACTGTATGTACTTTCATAAAATATGTACCTACTTAAATAATAATCGTTGCATAAAATCTTCACAGCAATTACGCAAAAGGGTAAATAGATTTAAGACCAGTTACCTAGTTCAACTGTCTTTTTCATACTTGATAGGACGTTTGACCAGTCTGATTGTTTCTGCAAGGATAATTTGAATTTTTTTTGTATTATGAAATGTGTCAGGTTAACAGCAACTTGATTAGACGCTATGAAGGAGTAGGAACTGTGTTCAACGATTAGTAAAAATGAGTGTTATATTTAGGTGAATACAACATTCAGTTTGCCTATTTTTAATCAAGGGGCCCCTTTCAGTTAATAGAAGGATATATATATATAACCAGGGTGTCTAAGGTTTAAGACCCGAGAGAATAATAGGTTGCTTATGGGACGACGTGCTCCAACGTGGACGGCATCATCGCTTACCACTATGGCGGCGGGATGGTGGTCAGGCGTCGGTCCATCAAATATATATATAAAAATAGGGGTCACCAGGGGGCACCAGAAAAACTCCTGAGTAGTACATACGGTAGACTAGTTAGTAAACGGCACAGAGGATTTCGAAATAAAACAATATTAATAAGTGTTTAATTGTTAACATTTTATTAGGAGGCGAAAACGAGCAATAAGTTTCGGGATAAATTTTAATACAAATCAATAATATTTGCATTACATCTCGTAAATCGTCAAGTTTAAATCTATGACATTACAGTATTTTAAGATTACAGTAACATGAACAAGAATAATACACCATAACAGACGTAGGTACTCGCATCAATAGCAAAATATTTTGGGAGCCAATATAATGATAGTGCTATCTGACACATAATATACTTTCGTATGCTAACAAATCACCCTTCAAGATAACGTTACTTGTTGTTTGAATTGTCTGATGACTTTATCTATCCTCTGTTATCCTTCAATCATTTCCTTTTGTATAAACATGAGTGTAGTATGACAACAAGTAGCATTATCAAACAAACCAATGATTCGACATACATAACAAGTGAAGCAACACTGAACCAACACTGTATAGGACAACTACAGAATAGATGTTCGATAAACTAGCTCCTTACGGTAGGCTAAAAGCTGCCACTAAACCTTCAATCCAATCTAAATCGTTTTTGTTAATATTTCATCATATTTCGCAACGATACGGTAATTAGGTGTTGCCTTGTGTCCGATGAATGCACATAAATAGTGTTGATTGCTATCTTTAGGCTTATTTATCATTTTATATACTTAGTTTCCGGTAAGCAGGCTAGTTTATCGTACATAGAAACACGCCCACAACTCTCATATCAAACATTCATACATTCCAAGCTAGTAGAATTTATACACATTTAAAACAACAACAGTCTAATTCCGCTCTGTAGGATAGTGATAAGATCGTAGTGACGTATCATTCGATTATATGGTATGTTTATGTGAGAAGGTCGCAGCGACATGCCATCTATGGCGGACGCATTGTTACGCCTGTCCACGCATCCTCATACATTAAGATTGAAACATGACATCCTCGTAACATTGATGAATATATTTATATACTCAAAATACTTATATTAAGAGACACTTGAAGATAGAACAATTATTTATGAACTTACATACAACTAACATTAGATCTAGGTATTGTCTTTTGTATGCCAGAAATGTGATACAATGGGGTCCATTAACGACAATAATGATGCGATGAATTTATTATTAAATTACTTATGTTCAATATTACTGCAACACCAATATCGGACAAAGTGAATAATATGACGATTTAAGATCTTAGCTCTCAAGTGCAATAATTCAATTACAATTAACATTACTATTGAATGGAGGCCATGTAGAATTACTAATTTCGATATTTTTGGTATCAATCATACACATTAAAGTATATTAAAATAGGTAGCTTAGATAATGACTAAAAGAGTTATTATGCAAAGTGTCGAAAAAGTAAATAGGGCACTGGTATTTAAAAAATATATACAATGTAAATATAGAACAAAATCATTGGACACCGCACCAACAGCATGATAATATATATATCACAATTACATTACATTATGTTTTATAGCTTGCCAATAATACATCAAACATCGAAACGCCAAGATTTCTGGCAATAATTCAACAATTCTTATGACTCTGTTCCTCATATTCTCACATTAATTTTATAATATACGTTATATTGTATACTTCCTTCATTCAGTTAAATAATTACTCGCGAACATACAACTATAAAATCTAATCGCATGTGTTAACTAGTTTTATATAATAATCATCCTAATAAATACTATAATATCCCGCTCCTGTGCCTTCAATTAACGGTACAAACAAGGATAATTAACTAAATAAACTAATCGTACGTCAAAGGAGAATACTATACAAAGGGTGATACATCTAAAAATAGATGCATATTATTAAACTAATATACAAACGTTAGTTTAAAAATATCACTTTACAGAATTTTTGCTGCATCGCGGCAGAGAGCCCTCAGCAATAACGTATTGCGATTGACATTGACGTATCACTTTGCTTAAAATTATCAATCTCATTTACTGAATCCACATCGATAAACTTAAGCTGTATGTATTTGGAATGCAACATTATAGAGTGGTGTACTGACTGACATACTACCCACTTTCAATACACACAGTTAACAAGTGTCGATTTAATATTTCATTCAATGATCAACACTCAATTTAATTCTTCGTCTTTCGAATCTGAGCAAAAATACTCCAATTTGATGTCGGTATATTTGGCGTGTCATTTTATAAACTAAAACATACCCTAATACATAAAAACAACGGCAATTTATTTCAAACTAATTACAAATAATAATATAAATCGTCATGAAGAAAATGGCAACATGATTACAAATATTACAATGATTTCTATTACAATAATTTTAATATTAAATAATTACTTATTTTGGCAATAAATGCAAACAGTAGGTAGGTACAATAAAAAATAATAAAAAAGTAACATTCGTAGCATTATCTCCTTGAGATTAGATTAGATGTTTACATCTACATAGTAAATTTTAAACATTCAATTGCATTACTATATTTTAAAAGTTTGGAAGATTGATATAATATTATGTTGATTATTTATTATTGAAACACGATGAACACCAAAGAAATTCTGCTACGACAAAGATGACAAAACTGTTTCATACACCGGAAGACAGGTATGAACTGATTATCGAGTTCATTAAATGATTCGGTGTAGTTAAATAGGTAATAACTATAACAGCTTGCCATTGAGCTTTTGACACAATATAATAGATTCAAATCTACGTAATACTGCGTAACGTGATATTAACGTATGGATAAAAGTGTAACACAACCTTTATAAAGGTCGGACCGATCCATGCGTGGCACTATATCAACTTGAGATTCGTGGTGTTGAGATCTCGCGTTGTTTAGCTTCGCAGCAGTATAAAGTTGTGTTACATTAGGGAATGAATGAATACGTTGGTGGTTAGGTATGACTTGTTGCTTACATGTTGGGTAAGGGCACAGTGACCTGAACGTAGCTGATCGGGAAGTACCCGGTCTTGCCGTGTACTGAGCCCTCGAACCAGTTGTCGTCAACTTTGTTGATCAGCGTGATCACGTCGTTCTCCTATAACAGAAAAATAATTATAAAAATTATAGTTTATACATATAAGTATTTAATTATTTATGATAAATAATATGTCAAACTTTAATGTTTCCTTTCACAAATCAGGCCATGAGCATGGAAAAGTATTAAATAAAAATCTAAATAACTGAAACATAGGCAGTTAGGTACTTATTCTAATAAATCAATTTCGCTCGTAGAGCCATTACGTTAGATATGTACATTGTCAAAAATATATGTTTTTATTATATAGTAATGAACTCAGTAAAACCATATACCACTGATTGGGTTTTACCTTAAATCCTAGTTCGCCTTGATTCTCCGGTTCGAAGTCATAGAGAGCGGTGCAGCACGGCGTCTTATTGGCCACGACGGGCGTTCGTGCGGGCGACTTAACCGGCGACGGCAACGGGGACGCTGCGGGGACGAAGCGATTTAGCAACGTATTTCATACGCTCATATAAACTTTCTAATCTTTCAACATACTGTAGTGAAAACAGACTTAATAAATTATTTACATAAAGCGTACATTATGAGGCTATTTTGAATTTTACTCTTGCATAGGTTTCACTGCAGTGTGCCAAAAGGCTATAGGCCCGATATAAATGTGATATTTTTAGCAAATTTTTATCCATACTTACTTGCTTTCTGTGTATCTTACACGGTGTTGCATATAAAATCAAATTCTATGTCGAAATCCATGCTAAAATTATCACAGTTCACCTAATTGTATTCTATAGGCCTAAGGCGAAAACACACTCATTACAAACCATACCAAAATGAGTTAGCTGCCTTTAAATGTTTAAAGCAGTGAATTTATAACTATTATTTTAGATACTCTATGGAGGTTTGAAGAGCGTGTTTTAACCATGAAGATATTACGTGTTCTTATTAAAGAAGTAAATTTAAGTTTTAATTAAATTCACAACAAAGACATGGTTATCACAATAAAAAAAATATCAAAGTAGTTAAAACACAAGTGAAAAACACGTAGCATCTACTAAAATTAATTATAACTCTCTAATCAATGTTCATGAAGAATGTATGATATTGACATCCTCACAATGTTATGATAGCTTCATTGTTACATGATATGATCGTATGGCTATGCTGTAAAGTAATGAAGCATTTAGCATGCCATTGAAAATGTTACATTCAAACGCAACTACAAAACGGCACACGTGTTCTTGTATCTATGATTTTGACATGCACAGCATTTTTTTTCTATGTATAGTCTACACTCAACTCATTGGCTGTCATTAACAATTTTCACTGAAAGCTCACTAGATGGCGCTAGTGTGAAAAATGATCTTCTTAAGCTCAATTGACATTAGCAAATCTTTACTAGGTGAATACAAATTCCACATCAACGCTTCTAAAAACGACGTAAAAACTCTCTTTACTAAGTTTTTTCAGTAAGTTTCGTGTGGACTATACACTTATACAGTAAACATTTTATAACCAAACCGTCCTTATTACCTAGTTCCGATATCTTATGGGAGTCAAACCACAAAAATAGGACTTCACAAAACGCCACACAGGTAAGCAATACATGAAGAAGCGGTCTTATTTTGCTGGTACGAAAGTTCAAACTCAAAAATCTACTTCTACGTATGTGTTGTTTTGCTCCGTGTACAGTTAACGTACGGTTGAAACAAGATAAAAGCGTTTTTTACTACTCCAGTTATTTTGTTCTACACGATCATGTCTGTGAAAGTGTCAATGTGATGTGTGAAAGATTGCATAGATTACTAAAACAAATCCTAATTTGAATCTGTTAGAAACTAATTTCTGTGTTCGTATTGAATCATATAGTCAAAAGTATGTTTCTAAAATTTCGTGCCAATCTCTAAAATGAAACTATTTCAAAAGACAAATTTTGAAAAAACTATCGATAGTCGGATGACGCAATCGTTAGTGAAAAAAAAAGAAAATCAAATCTAAAAACTGTCAGTACAATCAGGCAGATAAAAAATAAGATGCAATCTCTCATGTGTGTTCGCGTGTTACCATTGGTTGAGCGCGAAGTGTTGCCCGATCCCGGGAACAGTTCCAGGTTCGACGGCGGCTTGTGTTCCGGGGAGCCAGCGTGGGAACCAGCTTCGCACAACGTGAACAAACCATATACTCAATGCCCATTACTAAGTCACTCAAAAACGGTAACTAACACAAATATTTGAGTGTTGTTTTTAATTAATTCGCGATGTGCATGTCAATCAGTTCGTATGTAGGGAACATCGAATCTTCAGAAATAAAGAAGTGACATCAATATTGACTACACGAAGAAATAGGAAGAAAGATCATACCATACTTATTTCCTAACAGAGACTAAACATACATAATATCAAAAAATAGAAAGAAACATTTATTTTTAATCTATGGATATAGAGGTATAGAGAGACAATATAAACTGCTGGTGTTGCCAGTAACAAAATACTTTATTATTTTTTATCTGTTCTGATATTTTTTAATATTTGTTAATGGCAACACTGCAAAACACACATTATTTTGAATATATTATAATTGGTAATAATAAGGAATATTCCTAAGTCAAAATGGGGGGAGGGATGGGACAAGGAAATTCGGCAACCTGTAAGAAAAATGTTCAATAATCTTCCCACTCCTGTAAGTGCACCTTTTCAGTTAAAAAAGAATAAGAGAAGCTCAAATAAAAATAATTAAATGTTATGTTTTAGCATTTCTTTGGACTACAAACCCGAAATTATGTACAACAGAACTTTCTACAACCTCTACTATACAATTAAGAAAGTTATCTCAAAAAGATATTATTATATAGTGATAGTAATAGAGTTGCGTAAAACTTAAACATACAAATTGAAGTTTCGAGAGTCACACAACGAAAGGTTATTTAACTCGTCGAGTACCGGTTTTGCAGACACAATTATAGAACAATAGGTTGCGGTCACCGGTGACCGCTTGGTATTTGACAGTTTAAATTCAGTCTAGACAACATCACCTATCCTGATATCTGTACAAATCAGTATTTCCTTCACTGTGTAAAAAAATAATGAAGAAGCTGAAGCTTTCCATTTAGCCCATAAATCCTCACTAGATGCCAATAAGATTCAATTTTATTTACATAATTTTTTAAATAGGTGAATTAATTATTATTATTACAGAACATTTGGGAACGTTAGTCACAGTTTATAGACTACAATATGTACACGAGTATAAGTATAGTTGTTTTTGTACAACAAGTACCGTTTATCTGATTGCCTACTAACTAAACGTTTTATTAATTTGATTCTAAAATGAATGCAGTCACCTTGACAGCATATGATATATCGCACAAAGCGGTGCCAAATCCTAAATTACCCGCATTTTACGATTCCTTCCCAGAGATTCGCGACTGTATACGCTGTGGTTAGTTTATGAGTGATACAGTGTATTATTAGTCCGTCGCAGTAACGTGCCGAGGTACGTCGCCATGTGCCCCAAGCGTGCGCAATGTCCTCAATGAAATGTGTCATGTGCAAGTCAGATTTCGACCATGGACTGCCTTCCACCACGTACCGCCACCATCACCCGCAATCCACAACCAAAACCAAACATAAATAACCCGGCAAATAAAACTGAAGTCACCTGTCCAGGGGTCCCTTCCATTGAACTGATTCCGTGGGGCTGGATGCGGTTTGAACCCTGGCGCAGGCCTTACTTGGGTTCTGACGGGTGAGGGTGCTTCCCAAGCCTTGAAGGGATCAGTGGTGCTGAGGTCGCCGACAGAGGAGGAAGGGGGGATATGTTGACGGGGACGGGACAAACTCTGGGTGGAACCGTACCGCCTACCATTGTTCAAGTCGTGGATGCCCTCGATGTGCAGGTCTGCTAGGGTCTTAGGTACGAACTCCATCTTGGGACGGTTCACCGCTTCCTCTTTCCTGAAAACCGCAGAAAAAAATTAATGTTAATATTAGGTAATATAGATTTCCTATCATGTCTCCCAGTGAAGAATATCTAATAATATTTATTACTTTCTTGAGTAATACTTACTTTTCCATAAGCGTAGACACGAGTCCTTTGAGGATCTCCGTGCATTGTTGGTGGTACTCGAGAAGGCTCTCTGCAAAGAACGTGAGCTGTGCGACCTGCTCCACCTATGAACGTCACACAAGTCAGCATGAACCTTCCATCTATGCACCTCTAGACAATTCTTTAAAGGTTTGTAAAATAAAGGAGTTGTACTTACGTCATTATCGAGAAGGTTGAACATGCCGATCTGGGCCAGTTGTAGGGACTCGGCGAACTTCTCTTCCGCCTGTCGTATTTCATCGTCTGCAATATGAGCTCCTGATGTTTATGGACGCTTCACAAACGTACGACACATACATAGACACGCAGCATTACGTGTAAACCGATGATACGAAGTGAGTGAGATGTAAAAAATAAAATAAAAATAAAACCAAAAAGTGCATACAAACCAAACGACGCAAATAATACTCAGGGTATGAATGATGGTTAGGAGCGACGCAGACGGACGGGAACAAAAACATGGAAAAAAACGAGCGTACATTATAAGACTTGAATAAGTTCTAATGAGGCTCTCAATGACGTGTTAGCTTAGCACTACAGGGCTATAGTGTTTTAGTTTTAGCATTTATTCCACACCACGTACCCTGCCTTGGTGCGTTGTGACTTGGGCTCATGTAAGGGCTGGCCCTACCGGGGCCTGGCCAATACATTCGGAAAAAAAGAAAAAAGTAAAAACTTACAAAAATAGAAGAAAAACAAAAGTTGAAAGAGAAAAATAAATTGATTAAAAATGGGCAATATTTGGACTGTGTAAACAAATTGATGATAATCACCTTTAGCCTGTCTTCGCCGCTTGCAGTCAAAGTCCAACCGGCGTCCCTGTAGTTTCTTTCGGTGGTGCTGGAAACAAAAAATAAACATCAATTGGTACATTGGTACATTAGATGCATTTCACAAATGGTGAGATCAAAAATCAATACGCTACCCAAGATTCAAAGCTTTGGTATTTGTACAGCACATTTTGGGGTCAATTCAAACCACTTACTTTTCTAAAGAACTATAATTAGAAATTAGAATAAACAACTCTTACTCAAATTCACTGCGGTGCGGCGTAGCGTTTAAAGACTTAAGCCCTGACTTATCACGTAAAGAGACACTATAATATCCTTACCATGACTTCCTTAAGATCTTTGGTCTGCAAATGGTGAAGAGGTTCCAAGAAGTTTTGCTTGATGTTGTCGTCCAGTGAATACTTTACGTCAGCCATTTGCTTCAGAGCCTCGCCCATCTCGATGAGACAATTTGCTAAGAAGTTATCAAAAATAAAAATGTTAAATTAACTTAAAATAATATCTGTGTACCTCACATGAAGGATTTTAAAGTCCAAGTTTAAGTTTCTGTAATAGGATTAAAGAGGTTTGGTCTGCAGATTTAAACACAGATATTGTAATTAATTAGTAGGCATAACATAACACAACTTGCTTACTAGTGCTACAGGACCTGGGAAAGAACAATTAAAAGAACTGGCTAAAACAAAAACTAATATACGTACAAATAAATATCATAGCAACGTTTTCTCATGAGGTGACTACACTTATCTTGACTTTTCCAACATACACCGGATGATGGAAACCGATACAAATGCATTAAGGAATGAATCTCAAGGAATAGGCAAACCAAATCAAAATGTGTCAATCAGTTTAGGCATCATTATAGCGTATGTTGGTTGGGCTCCCGCCACTCCCGAAGGAGCGCGTTGCACCCGTCCACGCTGCGTGCACGTCGCGTGACTGCGAAACGATAGAATGGAACGGAAAATCTAATGATAAACGAAACAAAAAACGTCGGCGTCTGTACGATGCCACGTAGTGTTCCACGACCGCGCGACGTGCACGCGGCGTTCTGTGGTCGCACGCCGCGACAACGCCGCGCGGTCACGCCCGGCTAACGCCAGGGTGTGCGTCCCGGCATACCGTGTCCATCTGAATGACAAAGTTTGGTTCACCATCTTCGTAAAACTCTCAATTAATAATGCTTGTTTAATGGTACTTACAGAAGACGGTGTCCTCCCCAAGTTTCTTGCCGTAGAGCAGCATGCAATCGCCTAGCACGCCCTCTGGTTGAGGGTAGGTGTTGCTCTTAGCTTGCCCGCTCAGTTTGCTGATGCCCTTCACGGCAGCCATCTTTGCACGAGCCGTGGGGTTCGGCTGCAGGAACTCTTTCGTTTTTGTTTGTAACTCTTCCACTAGCTCGCAAGTGACGTCTGTTTTCTAAAACAAATAATAAATGTACAGTAATTGTGTGTAATGAAAGTAAGTACATCATAGTTTGCTAGCACAGAATCCATACAGAAATATCTGCATTAACGCATTTAGGTACTTATCTAGTTTTATTCACAAATCTTTATGAAGAAAATGGGTATCTCCAGTCTCCACACTTTTATTAGATTCGATTGTGAAATAAGATTTGAATTCATATTTCTGTGAGCGCCTCGCATCTGAAGCTTTATTGTGTTTCCATAAAAGCCAATAGTTACTGCTGTACTTACTCTTTCCATCTCCACAAAGTCCAAATCCAATTTTGTGCCCTCGGCACCTCCCATCTTTTCTGTGACATACTGAAATAAAGTAAAACAAAAGTTATTTGTTGTACACAAATAGATCGTCACAAATGTCGGTTATACTGGTAAGTTTTCTTAGATACTTTATATGATAATTTCGTGAATATTCTAGAATCAATGTCAAAGGGAAGAGGTTGAAAAGACGTCGTGTATTAACATAACTGGGCTGAACACAGCCACTGAATAATAAAAAAACAGCATAATGATATCCTACATTTCAAATCCGACCTAAAAGATTGTTGAAAAGAAATGTTATAACGAAGTTAAAGCATTAATGGGCTGCATTTTACTGTTAAAACTTTGTACAAAGGATAAACCGCGGAAGTATTGGGTGGGTTACGCGAACAAAAGCCTGGGTCGAGGTCTAGCCTTGGCCGGATTGTGCCCGGTCTGCGTCGCCATCGAAACTGTAATAACGGGGAAAGCTTCTGTTTAAACTACTCACTACAAACGCAATCACTATCTAATAAAGTAACGATTAACGGGTATTCATATTACATTAGACATAACATATCATAACATCACGCCTTTTATCCCTAAAAGGGCAGTCTACCCTTTTGGTGCACATTACGGCACTTAATGCCACTGTACAATGTAACCCTCACTTTTCACTATTTATGATTTATGTTATGAGTTCCATGTAAAAGGAGTGAGCCTATTGCCATACCGGTACATTTCCAGACTCGGTGCTACTACTAAGATTTTTAAAAACCCAGTAATACTTTGCTGTACCCGGGAATCGAACCCGAGACCCCTTTCCCGGCAGTCGCACTTGCGACCACTCGGCTAATGAGGCTGTATTACATTACGAGAAAATAGTATTTTATAATGCCATCATAGTGGAGCCCTTCGGAAGATCGTTAGGTTCCATCGTTCGTGCTACGTTATTTCAAATAGTACTTTCATTAGCTTCTTCTAGAGGTCGAGGTAAAAAAAAAATGTTATATTTCAACAACAAATCAAAGTAAGTATGTAAAACATAAATACTTTCAGAATAAACGTAAATATTATTTTGGATCAAGCAATAATAATATTGATGTTACACATATATTGATAATACAGGAAAAAATATATAAAAAGAATGGAGATTTCAGAGTGATGGAACAGTCTGTAATACTGATGTATTATCAGAGGACCCAAATTCTCCGAATAAAATGTAAACTTCTTTATACTTTAACAGACTATGTCAATGTTAGCTTTAGGCGAAATGATAAACTAAAAATGGATAGTCACATTTCTACGTGAAAAAATATCACTTAAAAAGTTAGGCCATCTTGAAGTTCTTCTGAAGACTTTTTACTTCACGTTGACCCGTAAAATTTATTCGTCTTTAACAATATCTGAATATCGAGAATAAGTTATATAATAATATTATTTTCGCTGTAATAACAACTGAATAAAAAAAATGATCTAAAGCAACTATTGTTTGACTGCATTAATGCTTCTTTTTGATTTCTGATTGACATAATCGTTGGAAGACTATTTAGGACTAGTTACTCCAGGGATAATCGCGTTCAAATGAACTCTTCAACTTAACAAATAGGTTAGACTACGGAAAATTTTAAACATAAAACTCTCATTACGATTCCATTAAAGGCGCCTTAAACTGAATAATATCGTTGTGCAAAGTTTAAGTAGCTAAACATAAGTATACTTAAGGTCCTATTTACAATAGAACGGATGGAAGAAAATGAATTGTAGAGGGCGGGACCTCCTAACAAAGACCTTGTTAGTCGGGACATGATCCTTGTCATGTATCGCGGCCGTCGTAAAAACAGGGACGAACTCATAAACAACGTTTGTGGTTTTACGTCAGAACTTTAAGATAAGCAAAAAATGTTCCCGGAGACGGCTTCCGTCTTGCACAGCGCTAATCATTCACGCAATCTACTTTATGTCTCTACCACATTTTGAGTACTTATTTGTAGTTTATGTAATGTAAAATGCACTCTGTAGCCCCAAGAATAAAGTTGATTATGTGTCAGCAAAATTCCACTAATATTTTTCACATAGGTAGTGGTTAAATACCCGCTGAGGCTTAACAACTATTCCATAACAAACACAACCCCTTATAAAAGATTCTATGCATAAGTAAAGACCACCTTGCCTCCATATATCTTCATTGCCCTGTAGCATCGTGCACTTGACTACGTCGAGGTTAAAAGGAAGGATTGAGGCCACCACTCTCCGATGTACTTAAAGTGACCTCGACTATTACTTCCCAGGTAATATTTGCCTAGTTTTTTCCTTTGTACTCTATTCTCTATTATCTGGAGACGAAGTGTGATAGTAGATAACTTTGTTCAAGAGTAGGAGCATAAGATTTTTGTTTTAATTCAGCACAAAATGTGTTATACAAACTGATGAAGTTTCATAATTGAACAGACACGGCCCGCGGCTCAAGTCGATGTTTCAAAATGCCATTTTATCTAAATTAAAACATATTCAATAAGTATATATTTATATATATATGTCGCAGCGTCAATAATATAAGCGCCGTGTGGATGGCGCTTGTAAACTACGTCGCAGCGTCAGTAATTCAAGTGCCATCTATCGCCTTACATGCTAACTAATTGTTTGGTGTTGGAAGCGTCAAGCGGTATGCTTGGGTGTAGTCGATGCATCGTGGTGACGGGACGGATGGGCGGCTGTCAGTGTCATCTGACAGCTGTCATGTGATTGGAATGGTCCAGTCACTTTTGGAACAGAACGTGACCGCAGACGGTTGATTTTAAGAATAACCAAAGTGAAGTCACCACGTTGCTTCGAATTCACCGCGTTTCCAATTCAAATCATACTACATCGATTCGATCGTGTAATCATATTGTAATCTGTGCCGTGTAGTGATTAAACCAGACGTCATACTACCCTTTGAGACTATTATTCAAGTTTCTCATCATGTCTGACCATTCTGATAGCGAGGGCCTCGAATTACCTTTGTTAT